TTGCAGAGCACTTTTGGGTAGATGTGGAACCAGGTGTGCTTGTGCAAATGTTGTATCCCTGTCTGACTTGCTATTGCAAGTCCGTGCATCAACTTTTCTGCTCACAGCTCCCTAAGTAACATGATCTATTTAATTAATCTATTTATTTGGCAAGGGAGTAATTCCTTTACCTATCAAGGGAGGCAGGGCATAAAACTGGTTCTACAGCTGTTTTGCATAGTCTTCCAAGAGTCCCATAGAGAAGCCTCAGGGGTAGAAGACAGCAGTAGAAAAAGAAGTTTGTCCTTTATGTTCTGATGAGGTAAATAATAATTATGCCTGACTTTCATTACATCATATAAGAGCTGGTAAAACTGCCTGGCCTGAGCATGTACACTAGTGTATTTTCCATGTAAGTTGAGTTAATTGGAGAAGAGCAACAATAAATATGCACCCAAAGAGCAAAAGTCTGGGTTTGAAAATTGCAACTACAAACCAGAGCTAAAAACAGATCACACACTTACTGAACATTCTTTAGCAAAGTAAGGTGATCTGCTGGGATGTTTCCTTACTAGTCATTCATTCCTTGTTCTGTTGGTAAATTTGTATGCATGTCTATTGTCTGTCTCAGGTTTCCGGATGAATCATGTTTTTGGGATCCCTCCGAGCTGGATTTATGGCATTTCTGAATCAGTATCTTCTATTTGTTGCTGAATAATTTAGTGTTCACAATTTCATTTGGTGTATTTATGTACTAGAAGGTTTATTACAGTAATCTTCTTTAGAGGCAGCGTATGTGATAGCTCAGTGGACTAGGATTTAGACCCATGAATCTTACACTGGTATTAGCTTCTGATCACTCATCCTATTCTGCGAAATGAAAAAAAAACAAACCCAAAACCCTAAGCCAAACATGTTTATTGCAACACTTATTTTTCCTGTTTTTCATAGTCTTTTATTTTGACCTGAAATAAACTCTCTGAACTCGTCTGAATGTGATTTTTGCCTTGGCTTCTTGTCAAAGTTATTCATCATTCAAGAAGAAGAAAGTAAAAAGGGCAATATAGGATCACTGGTCTCAGAAAGCCCTGGAGCAGTGCTGTGCATCACTCAGTGTCCCAGGTGCACGAGTGGACAACCGGGGCACGGGGGACGCGCCGTTCCTCGGCACACACAGGAGGCTCCACAGGGCTCATACAACACATGTTCTGTACAACACGCACGGTAAAAGCACTTCTGTTATGAATATGTAGCAGCAGGTGTTAAATTTACATGAGAAGGGAGTTAATTACATCCATAATAGCCGAAAGATTATGTATTTATCACAACTGGTTCACCATTGCTTGACACAAGCATATTATTTAAAGGTTAAGTACTACACAGTCTGTGGTTGCATAATAATTAGCTGTACACAGTGTTCTTCAATCCAGTAAGAAACCCTTGTTTTATTAAAGAACAGAGCTCAGTGAACATCAAATCAACACATGCTACTCTCCTCAAGCAGGTAAATTGAGTAAGATGTGGTTTAATTTGTATGAGATTTTTGAGCCCATGACTTCAACTTCTGTTTTTTTCCAATTCTTTTGGGTCAAGTTACTCAAATCATAGGGTTATTCTGCAGATTGCTGTGAAGTACATGGGGCCTGTCTCTAGAGAAAGGGAAAACAAGCACAGTTTACCTACTGTGAGACAAAAAGTGTCATGTTTATGTAAAGTCTTATTCTATATCTAAATATCAGGTTGCATATGTTCAAAAGTCTTCTGGAACAAAATAAACATGTCACACACTGCAGGTGTGTAACATGATGATTTTCATTTGTTAGCCTATCTCATGGAAATTCCTGTTATCAGAAGAAATTTAGAACACCAAGTAGTATGTAGAAATACATCCTTCGCTGCAGTAAGTTCTTCATTCCAGATTTTTTGGGGGAGAAAGAAACATAACTCTGAAGTTATATTTCTTAAAATACAACTTTCTAACCTCTCTGCAGAGAGAAAACCAGTAGGTCAAAGAAGAAAATGTTTATACTTATCTTACTCTATAAAACTCTAAAAGCAAGTTCTTGTACATAAAATGCTGGCAGCCCCTTTGTTCCTTTATATGTCCTATTTGCAAACCATCTGGTTCTAGCACATACCATTATCCAAACCAATCCTGATACTGAGAGTAGCCAAGTGCTCTTAAACCTCATGGAGAGATACTTAACTCTGTTTCTTTGCCTTTTAAGCAAAACTACCAATGCATCCATCCCAAAGGCTTGATGTGTTGCACAGCAGTTTTGCAGCAAAAGTTATTAGAAGCACATATATAAAATATGTAGATGTAGCCACACTGAGATACAGAAAGAGTGCATACCAGGATGTAATTTGAGATATGTTCTACTAATTTTTCCAGACCAAAAACCTTCCACCATTCCTCAGGCAGTATAAGAAAATAAAAAAATTATAATGAACAATAGACATTTCTGTTGTTCCCAGAAAGGTAGCAAATAGGAAGTACCCAGTGTGAGTACCAGCTACATAAAAGTGGCATAGATACAGCACAATCTCCAGCTATATCTGTGAATTAAGCTATTTCAGCCTGAAATAAGAAAAAATCTTGAGGATTTCTTTTAACTGCAACAATTATATGGGAAAAGTCTAGGTAGAGAAAATGTGATCATCTTCTTGGCACTATTGTCCAGATACAGCTGTAAAATATCTAATGGCCACTCCCTAGATTCTTGAATACATAAATTCATGAATACATAAAAGAAAAACAAGTTGGTTTGTTACCAATCTTTTTATAACCCATCTAAAAAGGAGATTATTCTGTAAAAAAAAACCCAGACAAATTATTTAGCTGCAGGACAGAAGGCAAATCCTTAGGGCATGATCGTTTTTGTAATTCCTTAAAACTGCATCTAAGTGTGTATTCTGAAATGTAGTGACTGTATATATTCTAACCACACTGGTATTAAACACACTTTTTTTTTTGGCCAAATTACCAAGACAGCTTTCCAGTATATGACAGTGAAATGTCAGGACAACTCCAATACCAACAAAAACTTGAGAAGTTCAGACAAAAATGCATCTTGGAACATCGAAGACATTTGAAGATATAAGAATTTCACTGGAATTCCAGTAAAGATAAGGAATAGAAATTGAAAATTCAGCCAACAGTGTTACCCCAGAACATTAAAGACATCAAAAAACATGCATATGAATCTTACTGCAAATCCAGGAAAACTACTGGGTTACCTGCAGTATTTAAAAGAGCTACAGTGCAAGAGCTTTTGGATGTCCATATCTCATCACTGCTGACTGCAGTCAAGATATGCCCTTAGTAATGATGTTTAGAGGTTAAGTAGCTCCAAAAAAATCTTGTACTGGATCGAGTTTCAACACCTTTTAGTAAAGAAATTTGGAAAACTCTCACTATCTGCCTTTAAATATTATTTGTTGAAAGATAACAATCCGTAAGGTGCTAACCATATTTAAACACATTAGTCCCTCTTCCTCTTTCTGTTATGCTAAATTTGGAGCCTACTTGGCAGAAAAGCACATACAAGCAGAAATGTGGCCAGTCTGTTATACAGGCACATCTGTATTTTGCTTGTAACAGCTAATGGGCGAATTTATGGATCACAACATTATTTTCTCAGAAGACAATTAATTCTAGGTATTTAGAATCATGCATAACAAACATTTTGAAATGTGGTCCAGCTACTATTTGAAGATAATTTTTGTTACAAAGATTAGAAGCTTAACATTTTATAGACACTACAGCCAAGCTAAATACCCAGCTGGAGTCCTTTTATTATGGCATTTTGTTACATATCCTTAAAACCCCCCACTCTTCCCATATGAACTACTGGAACCATATTTACAATTGCTGGGATTTTGAAAAAACATGGATGTTAAAAATGCTGCCAGATAAAAGGATTACTGCTCTGTGTTTTTATTCCTGCATCTGAAGTGTCTTATTAAAAAGAGACAATGTATTCAAGCTTTGGGATGGGGAAGGAGGAATAAAAGAATTATGGAAAATACATTTTCTCTAACCACATGTCAGAGAAAAACCCCAAGTTTTCAGAAAACAGATCTGTTTAATAGGAGGGAAAATGCATATTTTACGGTGCTAAAAGAAATCCCCTCAATTTTGTATGAGTTATTTCAATGTGCTGCTTTTTTTTTTTCAAACTACATCTCTCAGATTATTAGAATTTTTCTGAACACTTTTAAAGCACTCTATAATTTCCAACTCAATTTAACGTTGTCAGAGTTTATATTTGTGTGAGACCATGAGTGGTAAACAGGAAAACTCAAATGACAAGTTTCTCAGGTTGTCCTTAGTGAGTACAATCCATCCTCTCCTGCAGCTGCGAAAGGTTACCCAAAATTTAAATCAGTTACAGTAAGCTCAGCTTTCATGGAGATTACTTTAAAAATATCTGTTCTGAGGATGTATGAAAATTATAATTTCTGACTTAGGTTTTTATTTATTCCAGACTAGGGCAAGCTTACTCTCATTGAGTGCAAGAGGGGTGTCTAGACCCCAAGTCACTTTTTAGAAGAGGAAGGTCTCTTACTAGTGACCACAATTTCTCCTTCATGTTCCTTGGCCAACAAAGCTTTTAGCAGCAAATATGATACAATGCTAATTTCTATATACTCTATACTCCTTCTATTTACAAAGTAGTTTTACATTTTATTATATTCCATTGTACAACTTTACATAGTACGTCATCACTTCAATTCATAGTTCAGCAATTCCATACATATTTAGATAACTGCCTTTCCATGTCCTGTTATACATTTAGCTTAAAAAAAATAGTAGAAAACAAGCACAGTGGTGCAACGTCCAGGCACTTTCAATGTTGCTCAGCAAAATAAGCAAGCACCCTGTTTGAAAGCATGGCAACTCCTTTTGGGAAACAAACAAACAAACAAACAAAAAATCCACAACTGAATCTTTGCTCATCATGGATGGTTTTAAGCATCCTTTGTACAGTTCCAAGAATTCCTGAGAAAGTTCTGTAAAATATGACTGATATGTTTATATTTCAGCAGTGGGTCTGAGTGAACAGTAACTTCCATCACCAGAGGTTCCGCTGATGGCACAGAAGACATGGAGGGAGTCGTGCATCCACGGGGAGTGCATTGTATCTTCATGGTAGATCTAGACAAAACACAATAATCACTAATTCAGTAAAGGTCTCAGCTCATTATTATAATCAAGCTGTTTAAAAAGGTATGCAAAAAAGAGATACCCAACCTTGTCTTCAAAGCTGTTTCGCAAAGGCAGCGTAACAAAGAAATGAGAAAGAAGAGTAATTTAGCAATTTCTGTAGCATTAATATATACACTATTCTGCATATTGCTGAATCATTTTTCGTTACAACTATGCACCATAGGGAAAAAACAGTTCTCTGTACAGCAATTTTTTTTATTCTGTCTTAGCAGTAACAGAATTTTAATAGTTTTTTTGGTAAACACAAGGAGTACATGCAGCTAAACCCAGCAGACACTCTTTACCTCTGTGCCATTTGGCAAGATATTATACTTTATAATCTGAAGGACAGTCTGACAGCACAGGATCTAATTGGACTGGCAGAGCTGTGCTAGAGCTGACTGTGTATTTGTTTTTCACCATGTGGTTCACCAGTTAGCCTGAAGTTGCATTACTGGAACTGATATCACTGGCCATCATAAACAGCTTCTGGACATCAGCTTTCTGCCAGTCTCTGAAGCTTCCAGGATCTGTTTGGCTGCAGTTTATCCATTTTTTGTGTTTACATTTCCCTTATTTAAAAGATCTGTAGATAGGTCATGGGCTGACCCAGTGAGTTGTCCACCTGCCCTTCCACCTCAAACAAAGGGCACTGGCTGTACTGCTTTGGGACACTGGCAATATTAGAAAAGGATATGTTATTTGCAATGGGAACCCCAAATTAATGCAATATACTCTTATGTTTACCTGAGTAATGTTGCAGAAGAGGAAAACATGTTCCATTAAGTGTAATTTGTTAGATACCTGGGCCATTTGACGGCAATGCAAAGCTTAAGTCAGCAGTTGTACATAATGTCATATAACTATAGAGAACAGTGTTTTTAAACATGGTCTTTTAAACTGCCTTTTGAGATAAAACAAGAAGTGAAAAGTATATCCTTCTCAGGGAGCCCTTCACTTGGACATTTCAGTCATATTTTGCCCATGAACCAATGACAATACAACAGTGGATTTGCAAATCTATTGAGACAGTAGGGAGTGTGCTTTAACAATGCTTCTTAGTATTCTAAGATAACTTTAACCATTGTACTGTGACAGTGCAGGACTGGGTGATTTGGTTTTGATTTGACTATTGCAGAATTCAGAAGCCACAAAAGTTCCAGCAGCTGCATGCAAATTAAATGTCTTGGAAAGGTTTACTGCAAACAGCTTAGAGTAAGCAGGTGGCAACTCCTATGAACGAGCTTCTCTGATCAAAGTTCAGCAGTGGAGTATGCAGGACAGGTAATGCAAATGAAAAAAATTAGTGTGGCACAAGTGCAAAGTGAGTAGTTTGCATCCTAAAAAAATGGTGGTGATGAGCAGAATAGAAGAAAAATCTAACAAAAGCAAGAGGGGTTCTGCAGTCACTCTCAAACAGATCCACCCTTATGCTCCTACAACAAAATTCAGTCCCATCGTGAGACTGCTTCCCTAAAATGATATTGTACTCTTCCATAACAAGATTCTGATTCCCATAAGCATTATTTCATTGTAAATAAACCTAATTTACAAATACTAGCCTGGTGCAGTTGTATTATTTTTTGTATTTGCACATTTTTGCATTACTGTGAGCAACTGCTCAACTTACTGTGGAATTTGCCTAGCTGCTTTCAGTGACTTAAAATGTTGCATTTTTAATTCATAGTCACACATGGACTGTATATCAACTAACTGGGAGTCCCTGAAAGGATTTATCTAAATTTCAAGTTCTATGAATCACAATGCAGTCTGTACCATTAATTTTATATCCTTGATACTATAAATCTATAAAGCTTTCTTTTGTCATAATGAAGGCAAAATTAAAGAGCAGAGGTATGGAGATTACTTCAGAAACCCAGTTTTCATCAAATTTCATAGCATGATGCTAGGTACAAGTGCAACTGCTCTTTGAATCTCTCACCTCTCTGATGCTACTACTTGAATGTATTTTCCTAGAAAGATCAAAGCACGGATCAGATAAATTAGAAGAAATATTTTAACTGTGCATGTAAATGACATGTTGGCATCAGGCAAAAATTAAAAGAAAACATCTTTTAAACAAAAATAACATATTAAAAAAAAAAAAAGTAACTTAACCTGGATATAACTGAGGGAATGGAAATTTTTTGCCAGAGAATTTTGATCTGTGACCTCTTGTAATGTATAAAACATGACAAAACACAGGGCACAGGATTTCTGACCACAACAGCCAGGAAACTACAGCATGTGTCAGCAAAGACTCCACCCTGAAGCACACTGAATACCAACACCAGACTGAGACTTTCAGTGAACAGAAAGCAGTTTTAGGAATGCACCAAGTCTATTGCTTAATTTTCATGTTCACTTACTGGCCTTTTTATATTTAGCTACATAACATGAAGGATGATCAAGTTTTCAATCAGATCTCAGTTTTCAGCTTAGCTAATTTTCAAGCACAGAGAGCCACCTCTGTGGCCTCCTGACATGCAGTACGTGCCTGTTCGTGGATGATGTCAGAAAGCTCTTTCACCATATCCCGAAAGTTTGATTTCAGTCCCTCGTGGTACTCCACTTGGTCCTCCTTAATGAGACGCTCGTTGAGCTCCAGAGCAATTCCACAGGCTTGGATAAACTTCCTGGGGAGGAAAGGAATGAATTTGGGGCATTGCAATAGTTTAGTCTTCTACTAAGCAAGCAACCAAAGAGACAGGCAAATCTCATTATTTCCCACTACCCTTTTTTCTCCAATGTTTGGGACAAGTTGCGTTCTGGGAGCATCCCTGGCCCGGTGGATCAGGGAATGGGGAGGGACTGCAACACAGGGATGGGGCTTTCTGCTGGAGCTCCTTCAAGCCTGGATCCTCAGCAGATGGGACACACTCCGACCTGCAGGACCACACACAACTCACCGGTACCAGATAAGCCCAACCAGCTGCACGTGGGGTCACAGAACAGAGGGAGGCCATGGCCAGGCACAGAGGGGAAACCAGGGCTTGTCAGAGCTGGGTGTGTGACACAGCAGTGTGCTGGAGAGGGCAGGTTGCTATCAGCAGAGACAGCCTCCAGAAGGAAGTTTGGATCATGGGGAGGTGCAATACTGTTTCTTGCTTACCATTGTTCATTCTTTGCTTCATTTCACACACGTATTTTCCTTTCTTATAAACCTCATTTGAAATAGAGTTTGTGTTTGTCCTGCTGGCTGCACTGCAAGGTTGGAAAGTAAAACTGCCTTCCCTCTAGTCTGCATCTATGCATGGCAGGTTCACATGGATTGCTCCCTTATTGTCAGGTTACTCAATACACAGAAGGAGAATTGGATTGGCCCAAAAGCTGCTTTCTCCATGTAATTACTAAGGAGTGAAATGGGAGTCACCAGCACAGAGTAACAAACGCAGGCGGTGGCAGACAACTGGTTGCACTCGAGAGGTTCAGAAAATAGGGTGGCAAAGACTCATCATCCTGAGGTGAAGTAGCAGTTGCCTAATTATATCTTGGAGGACACTTTCAAGTGAGAGGTAAAACTTACCCTAAGGGACAGAAATTAGAAAAACACCTGTGCAAGTCACATAGTTTCAAAAATTAGCAGCAGAAATGAGAACAATGGTCTTCCATAAACGGGGAAAGGATTTGCTTTAAAGTATTTCAAGTTCATCATTATCTAACAAAAAATCCCTTTGGAAAAACTGGGAAACAATGCACAATATGAAAGATGCCTGAAGACAGGACTGTCAGATCTCTGGTTTTCAAACATACTTCCTTCATGTGATAATCTCAAATATCCATACCAACTGCTGAAGCAGGTGTTCAAGTAAATCTCCCCATGAAGAGCACAGCCCTGAGCTTGGGAACTCTTGACAGATATAATTACATTGGCTTTTCTCATATGTCTGAGCACCCATAATCCTATGAGACTTGGATCTTTATAAGACATATCAAACACACAGCATCTGCTGATTTTGGAGACAGACAAAAATAAAATCAAAGCAGGTACCATGTTCCAGCCAGCTAGCTAGTTTTTATTACATTAGAAATCCTACCTGAACATTTCTTTCAACTCATTCACCTTCTTAGCAGGATATTTGCTGGACTGGCTGTCACTTAGGAAAGCTCTGGCATAGGCCAAGGGACCAGCATTAACCTAGAACCAAAGAAGAAATCTGAGGTGGTGAATCACAGAAATCATTTATGCTAGAACTTCTGCTGAGCTGCTAAAGGCATTTGTGAAAAGAATAACAATTTTTTTTTAAAAAACCCACCCAACATTAGCTATTTGAATGCCATCAACTCTGCATTACTAATGTCACCAGAGACACTGAAAGTTTCAAAGGTTGAGTATTTTTCCATCTACATTTTCTAAGATCAAAAGATAAATGGAGATAAAAAGAGAGATTAAATTTGTTTCTTCGTACTTTCCTCTTATTTCCGTTTGGAAAAGCAGTATGATCCGAGTCCTAAGGTCGTTTAACCAGCTTGAGAAGTCAGGCTTGCAAAAAGGCTATTTGTGCCTGATACTTGCAGTGCAATGTTGAAGAGTTAAGTATATTTCAGCAGTCACCCACGGCCAACTAATGGGCAATTACTTGGACTCGACTCTGTAAACACCACTGGAGAAGTGCTTATTGCCAGGAGCCTCCTGCTAATGCAGCAGCGAAGCTGCAGGGAAGCTGAGCTGGCAGGCTGATGGCTCAGCCCTGCAAGCCGGGTAGTTAATGATTTCTGGAAAGTCAATGTGTTGTGTCACGACTAGATGGCTCACCCTGAGCTGTGTATATAAACACAGTTTTGAACAGACATCAGACAGACTCACCTGCACAGAAACACAGCCTTGCAATTTGAGCTGCAGCTGGATCATGTCAACGTCACCAGCAGAGCAGAGTTTCTGCAGCTCTGCTGTCTTGTCTTTTATTTCATCAGTAGCAACATCGATTGGTTTTAAATTAACCTGATGTTCATAATTGACTGGAATTCTCTTCTTTACGTATGGAAAGGAGTTGGAAGCTAGCAGAAACAGCAAAAGAAATTTATAGATTGAAAAGTCATGCAGCACATAGGAGTACTCTTCACAGAATATATCCAAGCGGATTCTTGCTCTCAGGGATTTATTTGGGGTGTGTGAAATCTCAAACAAGGCTATAATTTACCAGCACAGTTTATTAATTTGGAAAAATGTGAGCATAAAAACACAAGGTAAATTATCCCTCACAACCAGGATATCATCTCACAAGTCTGATTAAGCTGAGAGAATTTCATGAGAGAAGTTGAGGGATATTTTCATGAGCTAAAATAGTTTCAAAATAGTTGCTGATACTGTCTCATGATCAGATGTTTGTACTTACTAGTTAGAATGGTCCTTTTTTTACACTGTTCTTCCACACTGCCATGCTTTTTTCCAGATAAAGTGTAAGGAGTTTCAAATACAAATCTATTGATGTTATGATTTCTTTCAAATTCAGTCTTTCTTTCAGAGATTTCTTTGTCTTCAAAATAGGGCTTCACGTAAGTCACTTGAATATGGGCATACTTAGGATCAAGGTCTTTAATGTTGACCTGTGGGTTACTCACAAAGAGAGCAAAGGTTAATAACTTACAGTTGACTAATTTATATACTGGGATCTGATTTAAACTAATTCCCTGCTGACCTAGCCTTACTGCGTGCAGATTAGTGACACATCAAATGCTCCTTTTGACCTCAGCTGGGATGTCTAGACCACTAGAAGATAAACGAGACAAGGAGGTGTGGCACAAGAAACATGTCATATGGTGCCAAACAAGCTGCTCCTGAGCAGGCAGTCATATCACCTTATCCATCAATGCAGCACATGCCTCAGCTACTTAGTCCTTCTAATATGACCATAAAGTTTTTGGAGCACAAGCCAATGCTCATACAGTGCTGTGCTGGGACAGGCAAATCTGCAGGCTTGCACTAAGCCAGGTTTGGGATCACCAGTGCTGTCTTTGCTAACCCAGATAAATCTGCAGTTGCAGCCTAAGGGTGTGAACAGCCCTTGCAGGGAGCATAAATAAGTATTCCATGTGAAAGAGAAGGAGCTATGGCTGCAAGGTCCAAAAAGATTTTTTTTTTAGACTTGGAGTGTCAAAGCAACAAGAAGTAACTCTGCTTCCAGTCATCTGCTGCTCTGTGCTGGCTTCTGACACCTGCCAACAACAAGGCTCAGTGGGATGGGGATTGCAATTTCCCATTCATAATTCCCAACTGATTTGTCTCCATCCACCCAGGAGCCGGAGCAGCACCAAAACTTGTCAAGCTGTGCCAGCATGTCCACACTGGAGCATGAGGATGCGAGGGGCCATTGGAAGCAAGGTGCTTGCAAGAGGGTGGAGGAGAGGGCTTGCTCCTCCCTTCCTACAGGCAGAAGGGAGGGATGCTCTGTCAACTTCCTTCTTCAGCTCCACACAGCAAAGTTCACCCTAACAGCATTTCATTAGCTCGTTCATGCAATTTAACTCTACCTTATTAGAATCCTGGATAATCTTTACAGTCTCTGACCCAAATTTTTCTCCATAAAGCTTAAGAAGTCTGAAGGAGATCTCTGAGAGGCCTGTCAGTTTAGGTTCCTTATAGACGTATTCCTTCCCATCTTCTTCTTCAAAGAACGTCTTGCATTAAACACAAAAAAAAATAAAATAGTGAAGTAGTGAGTGTGAGAAACAGAGGCCCAGTCGGGCAATTTCCAATCAGAATTTATTATATGATAAAAGCAACTTCAGCGCTGGGTGATCAGGGAAGGGGTCCAACAACTCCCAACGCCTGTCACACCCAAAGAATACAGTTGTTCTACATTTATTTCCAGCTACTTCATGCATATTCATTATACATAAGCATAAACATTACACATTGTTATCATCAACAGATGTTTTTCTTAACAAGAATGTTATCTATAAGCATCCATAATATATTGTCAAATCAGACATTCAGCAGATGTTTGCTTGCTATCTATACAAAGTTATAAATTTCAAGAAAGGTCCTATTATCTATCTAACTAAACAAAATTGTCTCACTATAAATCCTACACAGGGTAAAAGGGAGGTAACTTGTTTTATCTCTTTATAGGGGCCCAATTAAATTTTATGACTTGTTTTTCTTTTCTCTCCAGGTCATATTGACCTTACACTGTTTCCTCTTAATCAGCTCGAATTATTTTGTGAGTTTATCACATGAGGAATAGCTGTGTTCCTTCATTTGGAGAACTTTATCTTAGATTTGCTACTTGGAAAGTAAGTTTCTACTAACATTTCAGAAAGCCAAGAAGGTTTGTAAGGCTATGGCTCCCATAAAGTCTCTCTGAACTCAGCCTGTTTAATAGGTTCCTTCAAAAATTGTCTAAAAAAACCCATAAAATTCCTCAACCAACCCAAACATAGCACATCATTGCTTGAGTACAATTGGTGAGAAATCTAAACAATATGGAAGATGGTTTGGCCAGCACATGACCTTTTGGAAGGTTGGGAAGAAACAAACGGGAAAAAAACCATAAAAACAAGGTACAGAGAAGGAGCTGAAAGATAATTAAGTTGAGGACAGCAGAGCCATAAGAAAAGTCTGAAATTAAGGAATTTGTGTAGACTGTGAGAGACTTTAAGCAATAAAAAAAAAATGGATTTTCTCTGCTTTAATTTCTCTTGTATTCAAGGAAGTGGAACTTGGTGTATTTACTGTAAGTAAAGACAAAACCGCATCAAAGGTTGTGCTTGCATCACCAGTCCTCCCAATAATGGAAACAGCATGAAAACTTCACACTTTGGCAAGCTATTCCGGTCAGAAGTTGTGACACAGTGTTAAAACTATTTGTGGGTAGCTGGAATAAAAAGCCAGCAAAGCTTTAAAGTACAAAACTGGATCAAGTATTAAATGTCAGGATGACATGTTACACAGCTTAATTTTAGGGGCTAGTCCAGTTATTTCCACAGCTTCTGTAAAACCAACCTTGCAGTTGTTTTCTTTTATCTTTTGCTAACCTTATTTACTTTTTACATATCCAAAGTTGTGGATAACATGAGGACAAATGTAAAATGTATGTCTACTGCAGCAAATGCAGCATTGCAATGCTCCAATATGCTGTGTGTGCAGTGACAGTGGTGTTCAAAGGTAGAAACCCATGATGGTTTCAGGGGTATTCATCATCTTCTCTAAAAGAAGGAATGAGGAAAAAGCAAGGCTAATTTAATTTCCATAGGGTTTTGTAAAGAGGAGTCCTGTATGTCCCCCACGGTTATGGGTCCACAAGCAGAAGTAGGTTGTTCAGGGACAAAAAGGACATGAGGGTATCATACTTTAGATTAACTTCTACAGGTAGAATAAAAAAAAACCCAAAACCACAACTGCTTTCAAGCTCAGAAGACTTCATCAGATATGACAAGATCATGCCCCTTCCTGGGACTCTAAGCCCCAGATCTTGTTCAGTTTTCCAATACTCTCTATCTCTACACATGAGTAACCAACACTGATACATGTTTTGTCTCCATCTTCTCCCATAACCATTTACTCTACTAACATGTAGAAGGGAGCAGCAATTGTCTGCAGAAAAAAAATGTTTGTTACTACTACTTTTTATATACTATGGGTATATATACTGTTAGTGGTTATATATTATACACACTAAATTGTGTAACTTATAATAACTATAGTTACAAAAATATCCCAGTGTTTTCTGAACCCAATAAGCCATTTCCTAACTGCTGAGCTGTTTTATGAAAAGCCTACCAGCAGAATCATAAACTTGATAATAAGTCAAGTGCTCCTGGAACAGACACAAACCCTCACCACAGGCGTGTGATACCAAAATGCTCAGGTAGACATGCTGGTGGCTGCCACAGAGGAACTTTTAAGCTCCAGGTCTGACAGAGCAGCAGCTTTTGGGGCCAGGATGCCTGGTGAGGGGTAGCTGACAAGCCAGTGTATATACTTACTTGTCCATAAAAGGCCACTCTGAAAAAGGTTCCAAGGAGCCTCTTCCTTGAGTGCATTACTTCCAATATCTTAGCATATGCTCCATGGAGCGTTCTGTACAGCTGAGTAAGCTTCTGGAAATCAGATTTTGACATTGTTAAAACAGGATTTTGCAAGTAGGACATTCTGGTTAACACCGGAAGCTACTGAGATATCTGAACACAATCCTTTGGAGAATTGAAACTTGAATTTCCAAAGAGGTTGAACTTGTGCAGTTTTGCTTGAAAAACCTGCCTTAAGTACATGCTTAGTGTCAGGTCTGCAAGGTACCACAGACTGCAGTAAAGCCACTACCCTTGGAGAGAAGACTGAGTGCACTGTCCCAGCGTGCCCCCTGACTTGGCTTTTATGAGTAGAGAAGTTTGCAATATTTTATGCAGGAAGTATTTTTTTGATTAAAAACAGCTTTATAATGAAAAAAAAAACAACAGATCAAGGCAAGACTTTCCCTAGCTTCAGTTATATTTGGATGCTGTCCTGATGTGGAAGGGGTCATGGAAGAGGGTGGGAAAGGGTAACACTACTCAGCAGCTGAGGCCCAGCCTCACCATAGCACAGGTCACAGCAGGTACTGGGAAGGAGCAAGGCAGAGGGCTGGTAACAACTTCCTTCCTTCCTCTCCACTTGCCACCGAATTGCCTACAGATCTAGTCCTTTGAAGAGTTCTCACTCTGTTTTTAACCCTTAAGAACCTCAAGTCTCAAAAAGAATCCAGCTTTGAGGAGCATATGGGATGATAAGTTTTATTTTAGGGGAAGGAAGGTGGGAATTATTCACTAAATATGAGTCTCCCATAACTTTAGCTTTGGTAATTACCTCTCAGACCATTGCTTTCACTAATTTCTTTAACGACCAGCAATGAAGCAATCTAGAAAATTACCTGCTATATGCAGATAATTTCAAAATACCCACCTCAAATTCCCGCCGCTTTTCATAAATAGGAATGATCAGTTTGGAAACTTCAGAAATTGTTTCATAACGCTCTGCTTTCCACAGGCCATCTACACACTGCTCCAGCAGCTCCACCAGGACCTCCTACAAGAGCAACCAAATGGGTGATGTTAATAACAGTCAAAGTTAGAAAAGAAAGCCACTTTAACTTCAGATACTTTATTGTGTCCCAGGATAAGTAGCCACAGTTTAAGTTAAGAAGAAATTAAGTTTAAATCCTGGGTGTTCCCAGTCTTTCCAAAAGCATTCTAAATTTTAGGGGGGGGGGAAGAAAAAGTATGAATTATTTTTAAAAAGTTCATTAATTCTTAGCAATCGTTAGCACAATAGCCAGCAAGTATGTCCTGGTTATTTAGCTACCTCCTCAGGAGAAGGCCAAAACTCTGGGAAAATACAGAGATGACAGCACTGGGAGTCAGAAGTGTATGTCTAAGAAACATGTCCAAACAACATGTGTGCAACAGCAGTGGGATGTGATGCTGAGGACCCTCAAGCTTAGTCTTGAGGAGTGGGCAGCTGGGCTGCAGGGCCACCTCGCTCAGCCACGTGTGGCCCACCCAATGTAGTTGTACAGCTACGGTGCAGAAGTAACTGTGAGACTTTATGACTCATGGGTGGATCCACCCACTTCCCCAGTGCCCTGCTATGGTTTCTGGATTGTTCTGATAACATGCTGTCCTGCAGCACAGCCCTAACTCAAGGGCAACCTAAGTTGACTTGCATTCTATCCCTCCTTGGAAACACCACACCCAGCTGCACTGCCCTGTGCTGGCAGAATCAGGATTTGCATAACAGAGGAGGCAAAGGTTGTGGTGCAGCTTTTTCAGTCTCGATGCTCGAAAAACCTTTCATAGGAATCAAGAACTTACACCAGTTTTGCCTTTCTGAATCATACACAGAAAATCCTTCAGTGCAGATTTCTCTTGGGAAATTGCAGTGCAACAGTCTTCTTTACAGATGCCAGTGCATGCTATAATTTATGTTAGAGCTCACATGAACAATGTCTAAAACTAAATCCTAACCAGCCATCAAATATCCTATAGTCTATAGTACAGGACCTCACCTCACTGTAATGTACATCCATCATCCCACCATCTTCTTTCATTGCACCTTCTTCATCAATGTTGGGAGTGATTTTCCTGAAGGCAGTGCATCCACTGGGGAAGAGTTCTGCAGCAGGCAAAACCAAATAGCCAACACTAAGTGGAGAATTTGGAGGGACTCCAAGCCTCCTAAGCAGGGTACTGAAGACTTTCCCAGCCAAGGCAGTGCATTTAACAAGGTTCTATGCAGCCTTAACTTTTTGAAAAGTTAAGGGTCCTCTTCAACAATTAATCCCTTACATGAAAATATGAAGTGGAGTCAATATATCAACTGTGGAACAGATATTTAGAAGAAAATCTGCAATGTGGTGTAACGTGAGAACACACGAGTCTATCCTTCCTTCCTGTTTTGTGTTAAACCACAACACTCTCCTTTTTTTCTCATTGTTCTTTATATATGTGCATAGTTTGGCTACAGTCTCATTTCTTGACTGAATTTTGACTGCTTTATTCTATAGTTTTCTGTACTGCCTATAGCAGTACTTCTGATGAACATATTGACAATCAGTTTTCAACATGGGCTTCCCCTGTGAGCCCATTTCCTACTGTGAGATACAAGTGAACTTTTAAACAAAGGCACGATGTGTCAGTTCTTATTTCACTCAGCACCATGCCAATGTGGTTGCCTAAGAAGACCTGGCCAGCCTAGAAAATGCCTGAATATGAGCAATTGGATTCCTTTCTTAAAAAATACTCGTAATCTTCTAGTTTTATCCATTGCATTATTTATTTTCTTTTCTAGCTTGTCTCTAAAATAATCATTTACCAAATCGAGAGAAAATTATCTTTAAAAATATTTCAGTCCCCTGAAACCCCTTCACTGCATCATCCCCCTCCTTGTGCCTCCCAAAGAGCAGACACTTACTTTTCCTGTGCAGAAACTCTGCAACGAGGGCTGCTACGTGCACATAACACATGGCTGCCTGCAAAGCACAAAGGGACATTATTAAAATGTCATCTGAAAATCTGTCTCTGTTGCGCACCGTGTTTCTAATCACATGAATCACCTCTGAAAAGTCTCCATTTTTCACGTGTATCTTTGCCATGCTGTCCAGCCATGTTTTCCGGAGCTCCGGGGTACTCGCGTAGGACTTGGCTAAGCTGTACTGCAGATCTATCAGCATTTCTGGATCCTTCTCGTGTTCTTTCATTTGAGCAGTAGCCATAAGTACCGTGCGGATTCTCTTTGTCAAATCTTTGACTTCAGAAGGAAAAGCAGTTGCCTGACACAAAACAAATCTAATTAGAAGATAATACAGAAAACACAGGCTTTGCCAAGGAAAGACTATCACTAACCTTTTAGCCAACACTCCATGTACTGCCAATCTGAGACAGCTGAGAACATGTGAGATAAGACTAATTAACTGTTCCTTTTTGAGCTCACACTGCATACAGTGTACAGTATTTCATACACAATTAGAGGCATTTCAGTTGTGGCACACACATGGCCAGTCTCTCCAGGTCATGTGCAGGATGCCAAGTTGGCTGTTCCCATAATACAGTGAGTCTGGTACTTTGGCATCCTGAGGAACTGGTCTGGGAGCAATACAGAAGTGCTCCATGCATGCAAATGTCCCTGGATGGGACCACAAACCATGCCTCCAGTATTTTGCATGTTATTCAACATCTGGCTTGTTAGGCTCTGATGTGGTCACTCTTCAATTCCTAAAGCACTGACAGCATCTGTAGAGCTCCCCACCACAGGAATGCAATAGAGAAAGAAACACAGGCTCGGATCTGGTTCCGTGCTCAGAGCAGGGCCATCACTGAGTAAAAGCAAGGCTTGCCCAGCCGAGTTTTATAATCTCCTACGACAGAAATCCCACTTTCTTTCTGAGCCCTGCTCCAGGGCTGTGCTTAGGAAATAACTTTAAGTAAAGCTGGAATTGTCCTTGCAGCAACATGCACATTTTTTCTTGTCCTGCACTCCACACCTCTGAGAAGAGCTTGACCTTGTCTCTATAACCTGCCTGCTGTGGAAAGCAGCAGTTAGGTCCCCCCTCGGCTTTCCCTCCTCCGTGATGAGCCTGGATTACATTCCCTTTCCTTAGGCTCCTGTTCCCTAGCTGTTGCTGTGGCTGTGCATAGCACCCCCTCCAGTGTGTTGAAATGACCCTTGCACTTAAACATAAACTGGGTATAATGATCATCTCGCAATGTAAATTATGAGCAGCAAAGTATGGCTCAGTGAAACCCTTATCAACATCTGTGCACAGAAAAGAACTGAGATTTTTACCAGGAATATCCTAACTATAAAGTTTTTTATCACAGTCAAACACCATCCCACTTTTAGGTCATAGGATAGTCCTGGAACTGTAAAGACTCTTCCCATTTTCCCCTATCCTACCTGGGCAGCTACTCTGTGTGCAGTGAAGGAAGCTGCAATTGCTCAGTGGGTTGGGTACAAACTACTAATCTTAGTGCAAGGACAGACAATAATTTTCTAAAGAAATACAACCAGCAATCTCCATAAGAGTGCTTTCTTAACATTACTGACACTCAGTTAATTAAAATTAATTCCTGCTAATTATGACCTTCAGGCAACAGAAGTATAAGACCCTCCCTTGTCATTTTTCTCAAAGCTGGAAGTTCCTGGAAAGTTCTTTGGACACCCTTGCAAGCAGCACACTGCAAAATATAACCTGAGCTCCCTCCCCTTGGCGTGAGGCCTCACGGACGGAGAATGACCTGCCTGAGCAGCTGGCCCTGCTGCTGTTGGCATAACACTTCAGTTCACTGAGCAAATGCAGCCCATTTTGAGCCTCTAAATTACAGTTCCAACCATTAGCCCTATCCTTAATCATGGCTTCCTGGAGTCTGTCCCCAGCCTTGCTGCTAGCACATGATGGGATGTAACACCTTCAACTCACCTTCATAGGCCTGTCGCTGTTTGCAAAGTTGTTAATGATGAGCAAAGAGTCCTGAAATCTTGTCCCACCGCTAAGTGCCACATCTGCTATCAACTGGCTCACTGCAATTATGATCTGTTGGGACAGAGTAGGGGCTTTATTTAAATGAGCCCTAACGAGTTTTATTATCACAGTTAATAAAATGTTCATAGGAAAACAACACATCCTTCCCACAATGTAAGCCTTGGTAAGCAGATGGTGTGCCTTTGCTGGCAGGTCTCCCAAGGACAAATACTCCCCAGAGGTCCAAACTGCTTTGCTGAACAGAACTATCCAACAATTGTAATACGAACTCCTGTTTGTATGTTAGCTACCTTCTTCTGTGATTCATTACGACCTGGAGGGTATTCATCTGTCCCACTAGGTTATCTAAATTTGCTTCAAAAAGTACCAATGTCAAAAAAGCAGCTCCAAGGAAATCCCTTTTCCTGCCTCAAAGGCAGCTGTCCTTTCCACCCCATCCCAGTCAGCCTCTGGGGCAGAGATGTGTCTTCTGTCTGAGACTCTAAAAATTCAACAGCTTGGAGTACTTCACTGCAGTATATTTTACCCAAAGCTGCCTGGGCCAGTCACTGGAAAGGGGATTTTTGTCCATATGGCAACAGCAAGATCCTCTGCAGACATGAGGTGACAATTGCTATATCTATTCATTAAATCTGAGGCATGCTGCTCTCTAGCTTTTCTCAAGTCACTGACCTGAAGATGTGTTCTCAGGAATGTTCTCCTTTTGGTGAACTCAAAGTTATTTCTCATCAGGAGATACAGAAGAGCGGAGGCTTCGTTCCTTGTGGAGGACACCTTGGAAGTGCAACACTTCAGGATCTCATAGCAGAGGGCAGCACACATGTTCACCCTTCCCTTGAAAAATGCTGAGGGAAACTTCACAAGAAACATGCAAATATTAGAAAATACACCACTAAATGGCACCCACAGGGCTCAGATGGGCAGGAACACAGGGCAACACACTGAGCCTGGTCAGCCTCAGTAAAACTTCTGCCAGTATTCTGAGCCTGAAAGTATTCGGGGGAATGAATTTGAGGCCTGTTTTTAACTACGTTTCCTAGAGCAATGTGAACTTTGCTGTCAGACTTCTTGGGGATGTGCTTGCGTACGTCCATCTAACCCACCTGCTGATACTATTTGGGTTTTTGGAAAATGCTCACCAAATTGGATAGAAGTGTTATGTTCTTACAAAATCCATAAACACCAGTAGTGGGGCAGAGAGGAGAGGTCCCATTGACATTCCCACCAAAGGCTGCTGTATGGAACATCAGAAAATCCATCAGAACCCACCCAGGAGTCCAACCTCTCCGGGAAACATGATGTGTGATGCTTGCACAGCTACTTCCACCCCTCAGAAAAGTCTAAAATCATGCCTGTGCACCCTTGGGAATGCAAACAAGAGACTGGTTTGTCCCTGAGAGCCTAAAATACAGTGACCTGCCCTGTCCCCCCAGATGGAGCCTGCCCCAGGAAGCAGCAGGACCAAGCCAAACCACAGTGTGAGCTCCCTCAGTCAGCAGCAGGGTAAAGAGACCTGCAGCAGGGGGAAGGGAAGCAGATGGGGAAGACCCTGGTGGCACATCTGTGCCCTCACCAAACTCCTGCTGCTGAGCACAGCTGTGGGGGCAAGCTCAGCCATGTCTGGAAAGCAGATGGATGCAGTGGGTCAGTGGGCAGCAGCCTCCAGGGCTCCTGGAGCTGGGGATGCCAGTGCGTGTCCCACTGGCTGCGGTCATGAGTGGTGGCTGGAGGGGAGGGAGCACCACACTCAGCTTCCTTCCACCCCAGCCACAGTGGTCTGGGTGCAGGGAAGCAGAACAAGGAAGGGTTTTGTGCTGGCACGCAGCCGCCTCTGCAGGGACCTGCTGGAGAGGGGTGATGCCAGCACTTCCTCAAGGCAGTGGAGGCTGTTTGGGCATTGCACAGCAACACTCTGCTCCTTCTGCACTCTGCTCCTTCCTGCTGCAGCTGGCAATGAGCCCCAAGGAATTTCCTGGCACAAAGAGGCAACTGTGGTTTTCCCTGTTTAGAGGAGTGACGTGTTCAGTTTGCTTAAGAGCCAGTGGTACTCATGGGGCACTTCTATCTGCCCCACTACCTTCTGCCCATGGGAGATGACAGTAAATGCTGTCAGAGTATTCACTCACACCCTCCAGTTAGAGCCTGGAGTTGTTACTGTGGCCCTCTACTCCTTGCATTAGGTATATATGTTCCAGGAAAGCTTGTAGGGTACTGCCATGGCCACCATCATGGCATACTGGTGACAGGGTCTCAAAACGGGAATCTAGGAGCTGTGGCTGGCAAGACTACTGTTAGGATCACACATACACACACACAGAGGTTAAAAACCAGAATGAAGACATGAAATACTTGGATGTTCACCGCCTCTAGCCAAAAACATATTCAGAAGAAAAATGGGAGAAAGAAAAGAGGCAAATAAATATCATAGTAAGGCAGGGCCACGAGGATCTTGTGTGCATTCAGGAAAGGAGCTCCTAAGGAACTGCTGCTCATTGTAATGCAGTCCTTCCCCCACAGCGAGATGGGGTCATGCTCAGCACTGGGTTTAGCCCACAGTTGGCCACAGCAGTGGTTCCTGGTGCCAGGTTCAGGGCAGCAGACCCATGGGTGTATCCCTGCTGGAGATTTGGCCAGGTGTTGCCTGTGGTTCTCCTGGCCAGAGAACACACTGGAAAGAGCATGAAATGGCCCATGTGTGATGACTGTGAACACTGGAGGAGCCCATTTCTGATCCAGCCCTAATATGATGGACCAGAGCAGGAGTCAACACAGCAACCAGCTCCCAGAGAGGTCTCAGCACAAAAGGGATGTGAGGACAGGACAGCCACAGTGGCAGGCAAGACATGGGGTTTCCATGATTCACATCCATGTGTCTGAGCTGCTCTTTAAGGCAGATCCCTCCTCTGTGCATGTTTTCCTTTTTAACCTTTAATTTAAAACCATTCCTAAGCATGTGTGTATATATTTATCTGTAAATGATGCTCTGAACAGAAGGAATCAGTTGTTAAGAAAACCTAGAGTATGAAACCAGAACGGTCTAGTTTTGGTGGTTCTTCCCAGCTGGTAAAACAGTCAGCTTTCTTCCTGCATTCCCAGCACACATGCATGCAAGCGAGATTCATTTTAAAACCAAAACTAAAGATGCAAACAATTATAGAATGTCTTTGTTCTTTGCTTTCTTGCAACATCTCTTACTTATTTTTTTTAAGGTCTTTTCCCTATCCAGTAACCAGATGTAATGCAGAAAGAAAGCTATTTTTAAGACAGATTTTGGGATGTGGAATAAATTTCAGAAGGTTTTTCCCCTCCAGTAACCATTTGCTGTGACCCCAGATAAGAGGGGGATTTTCTTCATTGTAATTATAGCTACCATAGAAGGCCATAAAAATGACAAATTGTCCTTTCTAACCCTGTCAAAGGCACAACTCACTCTTGCTTTTCTTGGAGTTACAAAGCAGCATTCGTACTTCAAAACAAACTTGCAGGAACACATTCTATCGTTGCACTTGTCATGAAGTGCAGTGATGACCCACCCTTCCCCCCACACCACTTTAGCCCTTAAAAGAACCCTTGAGAGGACTTAGAAGGAAGTTTGGGACTTGTGTGGTTATGGAGTTGGCAAAGAAAACACTTCCTTATAGATACTATCTGCTGGGCTCATATCTTGCTCTTACAGAAGCAACCCGTGTCCTGTTATAGGGGAAATGTGAGAAATTAGCTGAAATCAATCTTTCATATCTTTAAAGACCCATGATGCCAAATTGAGCATGGATTCAGGTTGGCATAAATCCAAGGAAACAATCCCACTGCCCATCCTTGCAGTAGCCAAGCATGCAGCCTGCCTTGCTGTCATCAGCATTTTGGAAAGCAAGTGTGGAACCCCTGAGGGCCTCCAGGCTTTGAAGGATGACAGTGAGATAAAATTGAACAGGTGTGCAGGTTTGGCTTCACATTTAAAAAAAACTCCCAGAAAACGCGCCGGGAAGGCAAGGAATGTCTCTTATTTGCTATAGGCACAGAACAAATATTTCTGGCTAAACAAACTTTTGACTATTAAGAGGAAAGGTGGGGTGTGTGCAGATCTGCATCAGGATGGACCTCGAGGCTACAGAGATCACAGGCACACAGAAAAATCAACAGAAAGGTAGAGCAGTAAACATGCACTGGACCCTGCAGAAAAACTCAGCGATTCCTGCCACTGCCAGTTGCCAACTAGCAGGCTTTAAGAAACCCCATGGAAAAACACCTTGTGGAAGACCACAATGTCTGGAGCCAGACAGGGAGCCAGCAAGACTTCTGCATTTCTGCTTCTCACATGTTTGCTTAGCACAAGCCAATATTCAGCCCTAGACTCATACTAGCTTTCAGCTTTGCTGTGGGGTTATAGGAAAACATACATAGCACAGACTTTTTCCACCTCTGAAAAACAGCTTAGCAGTCTCTTTATTTAATCAGACTTTGCTCAGCACCTAGTGCAAAGAGCTCCTTTGGAAGTTACCATTTGCTGCTTATCGCTCACATACTGTGCTCTGCCTGGCTGCAATGGATTTTCCTCATTAATGAAGTGTTGTGTCCGCGGGATTTGAGAGGTTTTAATTAACTTTGCATTCGTGATAACTGTGCAGCTTGGAAGGAATGGCGTTCACAGGTATATTGGGTTTTGAAGACGTACTTATGAGAGGTGGCAGGTTTCGACAAGCACAAAGGGAAATGTCATCACTCACTGCTTTTTTCATAGCATCAGTCACTGCTCTTTCATAGTTTGCTGTGGCTTTGTCACTGCTTGAGCGTGGGGGATTAAACAGCTTCACTGCCTACCAGGGCTCAGAAAAGCACGGAAAGAGGTTCAGCAAGTACTAACTTCTTTCGAATCCAGTGGGTGAGGAGCTGCCTGTCAGAGCAAGTATTATTCAAGCAATAGCACTGTCAGCATAGTTAGTTTGGGGCAAAGACTCAAGCACCAGCTTTTGGTTGAACAGAGGCTAATCTTTGTAACCAAGGCAAGTGAGGGAACTCCTCATGATTTCTCCTTTTGCTTCCTGATATCCACCAAATAATAAATAACTGGAGGACTTCACTGACTTAAAAAACAGCCCAGGTTAACTGGTTTTCTAAAACACTTCTCCAAAATATTAGGAGTTTAAGCCTACTGGCCTTTTCTGCCGTACTTATAAGTTCTCCTACACCCTTATTGTCATGTATTACATACCTTGCTAATGAAAGCTCTCAGAGAGGCAAACACATGCTTAAGAGCTGCTTCTGACTGCCCGTTTTTGAGAAAAGCCAGATGAATATCAAAAACCTTCTTCATAAGTGGATTGTGGCCATCATTGCTTAAAAGCTGGGTCTGTAAAGCAATGAGAGAATTTACTTCTTAGAAATGTTATGCCTGAAGCTGGAAATAACAGAGATAATTTTGCATAATTAATCACATCAATTCTTAAGCCAGATAAGGAACAGGGCCCTCAGTAAAAGTACAATCAATAAAATATGACAATCACTACAAACCTACAGTACTTAGTCAGAGGCTATTTTTATAGCAGAGAATAAAACAAAAATATTTTATCACTTCTGTATCACTAATTCCAAAACCTAAGTCAATAGCCTGTACAACTTTCACTGATTGCCTAGTTATTTGAAATAAAACATGCTGTTAACAACATAACTATCACATTGGTTTTCTCCATTTCTTTTTATTTGCCTTGAAAATTGTTTCATTTGCAGCCCAAAAGAGAGAGAGAAAAAAAAAGACTATGACATCTTTTCACTGGGTAGATTCATAGCTGTAGGAAACCAGTACACTTCCCTTGTTCCCTCCAAATTTTGGAAGTTTGCATCATCTGGAGATACGGTAAAATGGAGCTACTTGTCTTTTGACACTTTGTACACACCTTTGTCACAGGGTAAGTTTAGGATCCAGACTTTTAAACTGAGCTCATTTGCTCGGCAGCAAGAGCAGCACCAGCCCTGTTGCTGCAGCACAGAGCCCACTTCTGTGCAGGAACACCCTGTGACCATAAAAGTGAAGCAGAAGCCCATTAAAGCGGAAGGGAATCCAGTCTGTCCTGTGGTTTGAAAATCACATTGTTTTGCAGTTCAGCCATATTCAAAAAGAGGCAACTGAGAAAGTCAAGCAAGTTTTAACCCTTGCATCATTGAAATCCTTTTGCTGCTACCAAACTTCTAAGGAGTAATTTAATGTATACACCAGGATGGCTTTTTGGCTCTGCAACAGAAGCAGAGGTTATGAAGCACTTCTCTTCATGTTGTTCAATTCATCTAAAAAGGAAATCTTTATCGTGCTTGCTCTGAAATCCGGAGTTGCTCTTGTGACATTATGCAGACACATTGCTACATGCAGGATTCCTCTGACTACATTTCGGGAAGAGCACTTCTGGAACAGTATTTTGCTGCCAGTCTGGGGTTCTCTTCACCACAGAGGCTTTGGTTTTTGTAGATGGCAATGACGGCCAGGAGCGGGAATCATCATATGAAGGATGATTCATATGGTGGTACTGGTCCTGTCTGCACTGGTAGCCACAGCAGGAATGCCTCAGCCCCAGAGACATTAACGTGTAGAGATTCAAAGAAATTTGGGACTTGTTTCTAGGAATTCATGGCAGAAAAGAGTGACCATTTTAAAAATGCTGAACCTTCATTTCCCTTTCCTCTAGTCCTCCTTTCTACATGATGTACATTTCCTCTTATTCTATTTTTGTAATGTTTACAGTCATGGTATAACATCTTGCAGTTTTGAAGAAACAGCAAGATTGCATAAGGGCATAATTACTCTAAGACCCTGTGAAACACTCAGTGTTTGAAAAATAAACAAGATGCAAATGATTTGCTTTTGTAAAGCCTTCCATATTCTTCCACTCTAGGAGAAGGGATCACCAAAATCCACACAAAATCAGAAATACAGCACACTTTTCTACAAGATTTTTGATTTCAGTGCTGACCTTGAAACTCTGAGTGAAAAAAGAGATGGTGTCCAGGACTGTCAGGCACACTTCGGTGGCAATATTGCCCTCCAGTAACGCCTGGTGCACAATATCTGCTTCTGAGGTGCCTGCATCTGTGGGCAAAGAGAAAATCAGGAGGAAACAGTGTTCAACACTCCAACTCCCACAAGATCTAAATGCGGATATAGACAAGGTTCTCCCCTTGCAGTTCACTGGGTTTGGGAGATAAAGCAAGAATAGTAAGATGCAGAATTTGCCAGCTCCATTCAGAGAAGCTGCCTCAGCCTGATGCCAAGAGAGAAAACCAGTATCAGTATTACCCCTTAATATCACTGTCTTTAAAGCCAGACAGACAATGAGCTGTCCAAGTTGTCTCCACGAAGGAGAAATGGCAAAGTGCTTCAATGGGACGAAATTCACCCACATGGAACAGTTGAGAGCAGATTCCAGCACAGGTCTGTGCAGGGCAGCTCTCCTGCCTGCCCTGCTCACTACCCAAGAAGCTGAGTCAAGATAGGCAAGAGGAAAAAGTCACACAAGTCCTAAGTCCCAGTAGTGATTTTTAGGGATTGGTTTAAACATCACCCCCACCCAATTAGGAACGTTGCAGGGAGGAATGGTGACCACTGTAACTCCATAGAGTTTGAGTATCCTGAAGCAACAAGCAGCAAGTGGAAAACGGCTGCATGGAGTTTTCATCAGGCTAACACTCCACAGACCCATCCCACCCTGCTGTACGTACTGTGGTTGAGTGTGAAGGAAGTCTCCAAGCTGCCCAGGTGCTGGAGTCGCACCCCGGTTCTGCTGCGGAGAGCTGGCATTGTCTGGGATTTCCTATCTGCTGCCGTGTGCTTGGATAACCAGGCATCATGCACCCTGCAAGGGGAAGCAAACACTGTGGGTTTGGACCAGCAACAGCAGCCACACCACTATAGGATTACGTGAGGCACCAGGATGGAGACCTCCTCCCTCCAACACACTGATCTGGTTTATCCTGGGCAATCCCAGTGGGACTGACCAGGCTAGGATGATCTTGCCTGCTCCAGACGGCCCTAGAGCTACTGCAAGAGCAGTGCTGCTGCTCGGGAAGCAGGGAGGGAGCTGTGACTCGTGTCTCACCTGCAGCCAGCTGGGGGGGACACTGCCAACCTGCGCTCGCCTGGGCCTGGGGATCGCATGCAGGAGCTGGAGGGGAGGGAAGGGGCAGGGTGCTGAGATGCAGGGCCCCTGCTCACAGTACAGTGCTGAGCAGAGCCCCGGCCCCACGGGCTTCCTGCCAGCTGGGGTTTGCCCAGCGTGGGCGTGCATGCGCCCTTCCTGCCTCAGCTGTGGCAGGGAGCACCGGGACAGCACCCACACTCTGGCACCTGATGGAGGAAGGCAGTACCTGGCAATATTCCTCTTGCCCACGTATCTGAAGTGAAATAAACACACCCTAGGAAGAAAGCGAAATACATATCTGTTAGAGATCCTGCAGATCAGGAATGATCCAGAACATTGTTCTGGCCTGCAGACACACTCCTCTGTGCATGAGGGTTTGTATCTGTATTTACAAGTCACTTGACCTCACACCCATAGCTTCCAAACCCTGTGGCACAGCCCTGTCTTCTCATCCATCCGTTCCACCAAACCCACTGCAATGTGGAGGCTGTGCTGTGAGCCCTGCTTGTTCACACATGGTGGGACATAGCCCAGGCTGAGCACAGGGCACTGTCACTTCACTGTGCTCCCTCAATATACAATTATTTCTCCTCAGAGGGAGGAAGAGCATTTCATTACAACTGAACAGACACCCCTAGTGTTGCACAGGGCAGTGAGTGCACTGTGGTCTCCTCCTTAGCCAGTACCGACCACATGAAGGTGCAGTGTTTGAATAGCCACCTCATGATACTCACTCCAGAAGCACAAGGACATTGATCAGCTCCTGGGGGGAGAATTTGTTCCAATATGCTAAAAGAGTATCTGAAAGAAAAAGAAAAGCAGTGCACTGAGATTTAAAATCTCAAAGAGGGACCTTACAGACCAAAACTGCCAGTGATGGTCCCTTGTGCTTCTGGCTGCCCCCAGTGAGCAGGAGTCACCAACCTTCAGAGATCATCTTCACAATGTAGAGGTAGCACATCAGAAGCGTCCGGATCTCAAACTGGTCCAGCCGGCTGCAGTGTGACACACTGCTCCTCATGGAACTTCTGCGGGCCTGTTGGGACACAGATGTGACATGGAGGACCACGGTCCTGGGTCCCTGGGCTGTGCCCAAGCAGAGTGCGGGGCCAGATGCTGGGCAGCATGAGCACAGTGAACCCGGCACACATCAGATGTGCTGCCATTCCCCCCTGCCCACCAACTTGAGCACCCCACAGCACCATGTTTTGGAGACAGCTCATCCTTTGGGGTTGCTGCCCATCCCGCCTGGAAATCCCGGACACACGACTGAACGCTTCTCTGCCCAGAAAAACAAATGTCTGGGCAGGGAATGAGGTCTTATCTGGCAAAACACACAACAGTCTGATTTCACTTCCCCTGCTCTCTGCAGCATCTAAACTCCCAGATGTTTTTAAAGACAGTTCTTGTAACAAAAGAGTTCTTTGGCTATCACAGTTTAAAGCAAGAATCTAACTTTCTGTTAAAGGCATACACTTCAAAACAAAAAGTCAGTTATTAAAAAAGGAGGAAATTTCAGCTTAAGACTTTTTTTTCTCCCCCATGATTTTTGGAAGTATTCTGATTTTCTCCTACTTAGGCAAAATACTACTCCTATTTAGGCAAAATAAATGAAATCCTGTTGGTGGGTCAATTTATGTGGGAAAGTCTTGGGCACTGTGTGGTGGGAAACATCACTTTTAAGGTTATACCAATTTTATTTTGCATTCTCTGTGCTTGCCCTAGCTGCATCCTCCAACAAATGGATACAATTAAGCCTTAAGCAGGACACTTATCCTAAAACTGTGCGTCACATGTTTGGAGAGTGATCCACAGATCTCATTTGCTGTTTATTCTGGGAAAAGCTGTGGATGTGAGTCATAATAAAGCAGAAATAAACAATCATTTTAGAGTTGGAGATGTGTGCTATAGCCAGAGCTTTGCTATTGACCGTGCCAAACTATCAAGTCAGCACACAATTCACTCCAGGGCAACAGGCACAGAGCAACCTGTCTGCCTCTGCAGAGCAGCACTGAAGCTGTGCCCCTCCACGTGGCATTGCTTTTATGTGGTTTTGTGGATATTACATTCCCTAACAGAAAAGCCTTTTTCAACAACTCTGAAAAGTGTACCTCCAAGGGCACAGAGGAGGATATCTGGCCGTGGGGGAAGAGCTGAGCTGCAAGTGATATTGCTTTCTGCAACACCTCAACACCACCAGCAACAGTGAAGCACATGCTCAGGGCTTTGCTGAACAGTTTGATAGTCAAGTGTTTGCTATACTTGGTCTTGTAGCTCTGTGATTTATGAACAAGAGCTTGCAAGGCCCCACCTCTGCTAAGCATGTCAGGACACAGCCAGGAGCCCAGATAATCTTTGCCTTGCAAGGGCCAAACTTTTTGAAAATGGATCAATGATTCACGCCAACCCAGGCATTTGGAAAGCGCCTTGAGGAAAACCAGGGGCTGGATTGCACAAATACCTGATTTCCATGTGTGCAATCTGCCAAGAAGAAAGTACACCCTGTCCAAATAGTGGGGTCAGAGCTCTTTGTGGAGTGACTGCAGTCACCTTCTGCAAGTTTGGGCCTGTGGTTATTGGCCTGTGCTGGTTTTTCATCAAACAGCTCATCTTAAGTCAGTGGTCACTGGCAATCTCACATCACAGTGCTTTGTTTCCCAGACATGCATGGAAACCAGTTCCCAGCACTGGATGCTGGACTCTGGCCAGGCTCAGACCCATCCACACACAGGGAGAATGTCTGAGTATGGATAAATGCACCATGGGAGTAGAGATTTTCCACACAGATTTTGCCTTTCATCTTTAACAAGTAATTTGTCAACAGTTCTATTTTTGGCTCAGGGATGTTTGAAGAGGGAAAGCATACCAGACCAGTGACTCTGACCTCCTCTGGTAAACATCAATCTGTTTGTTTCCAAACAGAGAGATCTATAAGCTGGCTTTGGAGACCATTAACACAGGGAACTCCTTTTCCCTCCCCCTTATTTAAAACCTCCCGCAGACTGCTGCAGTGAGCGCTGTTATTTCCAGCTCCTGATACATTACTGTTTCACTCTGATCCGGGGAACTGGTTGCCCCCTCCGAGTTCAGGGATCCTTTTGAGTCCTCTCGCTTTATTGCGTGGCCATTTGGAAGGGCTGCTCCACAGGCTGAAAAAAAAAACCCAGACCCCACGATTAAGCCCTTTGCACCAGCACTCATCAGTGCAGCACAGACAGAGAGTGGAGGACACAATTCAGACAGCACTGATGGTCAAAAGCTGCAAAAGGACAAATCTGGAAAGGACAGTTGGGGTGACACCACATCCATGGAAAAACAGGTAGACTCTGTGAGTCTTTCAGGAGATGACTGTTTCGGGCTTGGGGTAACAGGGTTTGGGTTTTTCGGGCTTATAACAGTTGTGTTAAAAATAAATGGGAGTGCTAAAATTTAGAAAAATTAAATTTACCTGGATCTTTGTCTGCAATCAGGCTGGATCTATTTGAGGGGGATGGAAAACTGCATATGAATTCATCCCTGGATGCCTGTAAAGCAATATATGGTTTTTGTGACCAACAGAAGGTTACACCTATTCTCTTACAGAAGAGAATAATGCAATACAAAAAGGCAAATTAGAGTACTTTTTAAAAACAACACAGTAGAAAACAAAAATCGATATCCTTACTTCCATAAAAAAGAAACAAAAACTTCAGGAGTAGAAAGAATAGCAGAAGATATTAAAGTCACAGCAGTGTTTTCCCCTTTGTTTTTCATTTTTTGAATTGTTTTTCTCAAATGTCTTATTTTTCTTTTGGCCCAAACAAGGAGGTAAGTCTAGTCTGCAAGGCTAAGGCCACCTGGGAACCACACACAACTCTGAGGCAACTCCCCATGACAGTTGCTGGAGTCCAAGGCTGAGTCCTGTGTCAACTTGTTGCACTTGGAGGGATTTACCGCATCTCAGGGCGCTACACATACTGTACAGAAACATGTTAAACATGTCAAAAAAGGGAGAGTCCTTGTACCCAGTTCTGCAGACAGAACTAAGTCACAGAAAAGCCAAATTAAAAGAAACAAGCACCTTACGGGCCTGTGGGGAGTGGAAAAACACACTTCTTTCTAAAGCTGAGCCTGGCTGTAGGCAGTGGAAGTTGCACAGGGGGCGTGTGGGGAGAGCAGGACAGACAGGGAGGGCAAAGAGGCATCACTGGGCTTTACTCACGGGACTGGAGGCGGATGCACAGGAATAAAGTGCCTCACGACTGGCCACGCGCTGGAGGTTCTCCAGGAGCACCCCAAAGAGTGGCAGGTACAGCTGGGCGATTTTTGCCTGCTGGTTCTGAAAACAGGGAGAAAAACACAGGTAAAAGCCCAGGTTTCCAACGGACTCAGAAAGGGAAACTCTTGAGCCAAAGCACATGTACATATATATATATATATGTCTATTTACACACTGTATATGGTATCTTGAGGACATGTGTTGGTTTGGCTTCTCATCTCCAGTTCTAGAGCTGCCAGGGAGGTTTTATCCTTCTAGCAACAAGCTTGGGGCACTCGGGGATTTTGGAGGTTAAATAACATTTCCAGTCATACAGGATGTGTGACAAACTAAATCCCAGATTTCCTAACTCTTTAACTGCTACTTGACTTACATGGTTTGATTTTTAAGTACAACACCTCAGAGTAATGGAACAGAAACATTTGTTCCACGCCTGGTGCTGGCTATTGCTTCCAGTAGAGAATTCTCCACAGCAAATGCTTCTAGTGACAACAGTTTGTAGGAACAGATTAATTTGGATTAAGTGATACATATAAAAAATGGTCTGGTTGACATTTTCTAAATGGAGGCCTCCTTTACATCCAATTATTTTTTGTTAAACATTTATTATTCTGGATTTGACAGAAAAGTTACAAAAAAAATGGAAAGAAATTTAAGGCTTGCAAATTAAATGGAACATTTTGAATGATAAAAGAATCCATTTTTTCTCGTGATTCAGTATAACAAAAGATAAAAGAAATCTTGAAAACACTCATGGGATGAGAAAACCTCTTGGCCATTGATAGAGATGGAGTCTCCTTGGCTTGAGCAAGACTGTGCCAACAGACCCTGCCACACTCAGTCTGTCCTGCCTGTGATGTAATTTTTTGCTTTGGTGTCTCTGGACACCAGCTGAGCATCCTGCCCTGGCTCCAGACAGTTTCCTGGTCACATACCCTGGAGTACAATACATGTACAAATACCCCATGGGACAACTGTGAGACAGGTGGAGTTTCTGGGAAGTCAGGGAGAGTGCTGCACACTGAGAGGGCAAACACCTCCTGAGTTAGTGTGAGGGGTTCCAGGCACCCAGAAGTGCAGGAACAGTCTGCCTCTGACCCAGCCTTGGCAGGGAGGTGGCAATCTCTCCTGAAATATCAAGTCTTGCCAGCTGCCATGGGCTGCAGTTTCGTTTCCAGGCTGTGTAATCACCACGGAGGAGAAAAGCAAGCCCGCCTCCCACTCAGCCCTTCAAACAAGCAGAGAAGGGAGGGAAGAGGAGCTGGCTCCTGGCCCATTCCGGCCACTCCTCCCACCCTTCATGCCAGGAAGTTATCCATGTCCCAATAAAAACCCTAGGAGCAATTTGAGGACCTAAACACTAAACAGGGGCATGTTATCAGGCTAGAGCAAGGACAGGTAGCATCTGCACAGGTAGACGGGCACTTTTGAGGGCCTTTGTGTCAGCTGGGAGCAGCACCAAGATAAAACAAGCCCATCTCCAGGCTCTTTGAGCATTACCACACTCAGAGCCTCTGCCTGAAGAACACTGACAGCTACCCAGCGGAAATCCAGTGTCTCATGAGAACTGAGATCCTCTCCTCTGAGTCACTAATTAGGAAAACATGCAGCTGACTAGTAACAGAGATCAGTTCTGTTTCCTGATTATAGCATATTAATGCAGGATATGAATTTAAGCCCAAGACCAGAACATCATTGATGTTGCCTAATTTTGTTGAACAACCTCTTCGCTAATGACACTTTCAAGTTCCTTAATGGCTTAGGGCTTTATTACCTAAATACTCAGGATGAATAAGGGGGCTGTAGTTATCTGACTGCATTATTTTTGTTCCTAGATGGTTTCTCAGAGCTATTACTATTCTACCATAACTATCAGTTATTTACAACATTTTCCTAAAAAGTAATGAGTCTACCCTTAGTGCACCATGCAATATCTAAAAGTCTGATGTGTGCATTTTTTTTCATAGAGTTCAACAACATTATGTTAAAAAGACAACAAAACAGGCCTGACCTTATGCTGGTATCTGTTGTCAAAGGCATGCTTGATCAAGAGATTTTTTAAGACTGAGATGGCTGTATATCTGATATCATAGTTGTCCTGCAAGGCAACAGAGGCTTCTCTGAGCAGCATCCCCACCAGGAAATGGTGCCTGCAATACTCATCAGTTAAACTGTACTCGAGATTTACATCTGAAAGAAACAGCAAGGACATGGTTAAGGAAAATGTTTTGAGAAAAAGGTCACTTAACCTACTATAGTCCTCCAGAAGGGTTCATCACTCTCTCCTACAGTGCACTGATCTTTCAATAACGCTTGAAATGAACATACAGTTTTCTCCACCACTGAGCTAAGTCATATTAAATAATTTGGTATCTTCCAGTTCAGGTTTATTAATTGCAGCCCTCTCTGTTTCAGCAGCACCTGAAGGAAGGATTTCTGCAGAGTGATGCTTTGCAAAGCTTACCTCTCCAGTGAGTAATTTGTAAAGGCAGAGATGGATGAAATGGGGAAAGACAGGACAACTTAGTTCCTTGGGGCTGCTTTGCTCCCGACTGGCGGTTATCCTGTAAATCCCCAAACTACCCACGTTGCAGGAGTGCCAACCTCCACCAAGCATCTGTGAGCGTGGGAATGGGCAGTGGAGATGGTGGGTTTAGGACACCCAGCCCTGGAGTGCTGCTCTGTAGCTCATTCCACATCCACCATGAAATCTGCATTCCTTCTCTCCATGTTAGAGAGCAGAGCAAAGGCAAATACTCCTGCTGGGATAGGGATGCAAACGAGGAGCAGGTGCCAAGTGCTCGGTACTGCATCCTCCATCAGTCTGCACAGCTGGGCAGCTGCATGGGCTGGGGAGCTGGGGTAGAGCTCCAGGCAGCTGCTTGTCAGAAACTGTGAGATTCCCTCAGCTTCCCACCAGCAAATATTGAAAACAGCTCCTTAGAAGATGTGCTGACTCCCAGGAGAAAGGCAGCTCAATATCTGATTACCTTGGTTAACTTAACTTCTACCCTGCATCTCACACAGAGTCAGGCTATATTCTGTAATCAAAGGAGTGGGTGCTACAAGGATAAGGCATCACTTCCATGGATGTGCCTGGATAGTGCAGCAGAGAACCAACAGTCAGAGATTTCAGTGCAGGGTGTGTGTGCACTTGGGCTGCTATGAATGACCTTGTCCTGACACCATTATCTCTGTCAGACAACCCATACACCGAATTAGAGCTGTGCTCAGCTCAGACCTTTTTTTTGAAAACATGTGTGAAAGTTTTTCTGTGGTAAGGCAGGGTGCATACACATAGCTTTGAAAATTCCAGCCAAAGGGTTACAACAGCTCCGTGGCTGCAAAAAATATTTTTGGGTTCATTGATTCATAAGTAGCATTTACTGAATTGTGAAACTGTGATTCAGAGGAAAGAGAAAGCAATCTGGAACATTATCTAGCTTTCATTGTTAGTCATGTTAGCAAATGCCTAATTGTCACACAATATGGTTATTTCATTAGTTGAATGCAAGCTAATTGATTCGAAGGTGTATATTTAATTTGACATTAGAGGATTTGGTCATTCCAGTTGGACCTACCTACTGAAGTGAACCGTTCCACAGCAAATGAAAAAAAATCTAATTCATGTGTAAAAAGAAAAGGGACAAATAAAAAGACGGCAAAAATAAACAGGAACAAGTAATGCTCTAAATCTTGGAGAAACAGGACTGTACGTCATGTTTAAATATTATTTGTAAGGCTATTCCTTAACTCCCATCTTCTGTCAATCCCTTGGGTTTTTTCCTATCACAGGATTGCAAAACCAATTGCAAGCTGCTGGCTGTGAGGCCAAGCTTGGGGCTTGCTTTGGCTGATGTCCCCACGTACAGCAGAAGGGACACACACCACCAACACAGAATTAGCTGAGATGTTTCAGAGAAACTGCTCCAACATGCAACTCTCCAACTCAATGGGATGTGGTTGCTGGAATGTGCTCTGTCATCATGCCTGTCTGCAGTGACTGAAGCTGCAGAAACCCTCTTTATCCACCTCCCTGAGGGCTATTCCTTCTTTTCCCGGAAACAAAGCAGTAAGGGTTTGGGCATGACCCCTCTCTTCATCCAAACAGATTGATAAAGAGGTGAGGCATGCCAGCAGGGTACCTCTTTGGTGATGTGCACTTTGTACCTCTCCATCTCTGAGCCTGCAGTCCCCTGTAACCACAGGTCTGTCCATAAAACCAGACAAGCCTGCAATGGAGATGCATCACTATATCCTTCTACCATGGCAGGCAGAGCTCAGGCACCACTGCAAAGGCACTTCATCTACCTGTGGGAGGGCTGCTGTACTGGCAAGAGCTGTGTGTAAATCTCAACTGGTAGATCTCAGTCACAAGAAAACACAGGAGGAAAGATGGGCTGCCCTTACAGCTTCTCAGTTTAACCATCTCAAATGCAAAGGTGAATGTTAACCAAGAAGGAGCATCCCTATGTTATCATGACACTAAAAAGCATCAGGGAGGCACTATGGATGTGTTTTTCTCAGCCATTTCCAGCAAAACTTTTTGTTAAATGATGCCAGGCAAGTAGTCAAATTGGTGTAAGACATTAGCAGCTGGTCCAGAAAGCTCTGAGAGGTCACACACACACACACACACACACACACATATCTATATATAAATCAAAATAAGGGATACTTCACAGTTACTGTTGCTTCTGCCATCTGCATGTGTGTGGAACCACTTTAGGACTTGTACAACTACACCCTGAGGCACAACCAAACATCCCCTTTCCTCCATCAGAATAAATCATACAATCATAAAACCACTGGGCTGTCACATGGGGGAATCCCAAACCTCACTCTCCTCTCCTGTACTTATATTGGCCAAGCTATTATCATCCAAACCTGGCAATGTTTACTGTATTTATCTAGCACAGATGAGAAAGTGGGACCCAGGGAGAATGAGGGTATCTCCATAGCACTCTTGGGAGGCCACTGATGTCCACACTGCCATTGGTGGCACAGCTCCAGCCACCCACTCTTGCTCAGTGCCTCAGCTCAGCCCCTTGTAAACCCCATCTGAGCTGCTGAGCAGCTTCAGGACCAAAGGGGACACGGTGTGACAGCAAAAGCAGTGTGGGTATGTGGTGGTGCACAGCACTTATGCCCTTGGAATGCACGAAGGACTGGCATGGGCTCAAGCTCTCTGCTGGCTGCCTTCAGCCCGGGTTTGAGTACAAGCTCAAACACGCTGTGCCCTGCTGTGCTCTTGTTCAAAATGAAAGGAGCAGGTAACCTAGGTCACTTTCTGGTGGTCACAAGGGGAGCTGGCATTGCAGCAGTGAGTTCAATCTGTTCTCCTATATTTCCATTCCCTACAGCACCCATTGATGAGACACCCACTTCTCAGGGGATGCTGACACTCATGAGAACGAAGGATTACACTTGCACAACTTCTGTATTTACTGAAACACGGGCAGTTTCTTTCGGATATTGTTAGTCCCATGCAAACTTAAATATAGGAAAGACTGAAAAGAATGACTGCATACCATTGTGGAGCAAAATTATGTAAACTTGAAAGAAAAGCATCTTGTCCTGAGGTTAATGTAAATTAGGTTAATGAGGACATACATTTCCTTGACACCAAACCAAAGTCCATGTAGTCAGAAGCCATCAAGACTAATAAATTATAGCTCTTTAGCCAGTCTCTTGAGAAAGGACATACCTTGAACTCTTTGCAGCTTGGGTTTGGAAAAGGTCATTGGCAAGTTCAGAGGAATGTAGTGCTCGTGATTGCAAATGGTTTGAAGAAATTCAAACTTGTATTCAACCAGCAGCTGGGATAAAAAAAAGACAAACACAAACTATGTTTTCAGTTTGACCCATGTGCTTCCAGTTCAATGTGCTTGTTGCATAAGAATTGGGGAATCTAAAGAGCATGTGGTAAAACTCACTAATAAATGGCAAATTTCTGTGTTGTTCCCACCAAGTGTCAGCACATGCAGTTGTCACTTGGGACTTCTTTTCCTTTTTCATCCAAACTATTAACCAATTTCTCCTTTACTTCTGACTCTTTACATTACTTGGAAACTTAACTGGATAAAGGCTCTTGGCCCAGACAAAGAGGTCTCTGCCTCCAAAAGACTCTGCAGGAACAGAGTCTAAAAGGCCTCCAAGAGTTGTATAAAATAATTACTAAAGAGCTTTGACTAATGTAGATAAGTACAACTGCAAACCACCTTTCAAGAAACCTACTGCTTACCTTAGGGTCTTTTGGGCTGAATCCAGAAACGTAATCATTTATCAAGTTAAAAACAAATCCTCTGTCCATAAAGGTCAGACAACGCTGGAGAAAAAATAGCAAGATGTGAGCAATGATTAAAAATTAAAGCAATTATGCTAAATCTTCTCCATACTACTGTCTGCCAGCAGCTCGATCTGATCCTCCAGCTGCTGCCGACTTTCCAAAACATACTTGATCCTGTTTCTCTGAAACTATTTGGATGATCTCACATAAGTCTCCCGTGGACAACAGAAATATTTAAAATGAGATTATACATATTCCAGGTTCCAAACAGCTGCTAGGCATGACTGAAAACCCGAGGTAACATGTAGAGTTAGTGCTCCTCAGAAAGAGAAAGTTACTTTCCTAGGAAAGCTTGTCTCCTCCAGAGTTTTGACAACTGAAAAAAACCCCAAAGACAAGATAAAGTAAAACCATATTTGTTTGCTTGCTCCGTATTTCTCTTTGTCTGCCTTTTTGTTTTTTCTGATAAAAACCTTGGGAGAAGGTAAGAAGCTGCTGACCTTCAGGAAGTTAGCCAAGCTAAAGTTGACGTTCCTGGACTCCTCGGGGATCTCGTTATAGCGAATGGTCACGTGAGGAATGATGGCAAGGAGCAGCGAATGCAGGGCGTGCTGGTAGGACTCAGGGAACCGCTGGCCTCTGGGCAGCTGAAACCAAAAGCACACCCAAACTCAGTGCTGCAAGCCAGCCCCAGTCCAGACATAAGTTCTTTAGCATTTGTTTTAGTTGTTTGCTAATAAAACACTGGCCAAAGACAGCACTGGCTGCAGCTGCAGTGGGTAGTAACAGAAAAGGAGGGTGCACAAGCCGTAAGGAGGTCTGGAATTTTTAAATTACAATTGAGAGTGAAAAGGGGAAAAAGGGAGAAGTAAAGCAAAAGGAAAAAGGCTAGATGTTCAGCTTGGCATGGTTGGGTTTTTTTTTAAATAAAGAGTTACAAAGCTTTTCAGAAAAACTTTTGGAGGAGAGTTAGTTAGCTTGTGACAGTTCTGTAATGCAGCATTGACCGAATTTATTTTTACCTTGATTTTGTTCTCTTCCAGTAAGTACATTGCCATGGACTTTGCCAGTGCTTCAAAGAAAAACCACGAGTACTAGAACAAACAAAGAATACTATTACTTTTCTCAGCAGGATTGACATTCCCTGACTGTGTGGAGAAGCACCTATTTGTGAGGGAGAGCTCACACTCTCAAATGGCATTTTTTTAGCACAGTTGTGCTTGGCGTGGGTGCCTTTGCTACCCAGAGATGTCCTGCCAGTCTTAGGGTGGGAATAGATTCATCCCCTCTGCATCCCAGTGCATCCTGCCAAGAGCCAGCAGAGCTTGGGGTGTAAGCCCTGCAAAGGCCCAGAGGCAGAAACTCAGTCTGCCTCCTGTGAGTCACCACTCACGTATGGCTTGAGGAAAATAGGTAAAACTGACAAGACGAACAGCCCTTTGCTGTGTCCTGCCATGAGCCTAAACACAGCCAGGTTCTCTGCAAGAATTCATCTCTGTTGTAAGGGGAGAACCTCAAGGATGTGGATGTGAGGAGCTGTCCCGGTAGCTTTGTCCCGGCAGTGGGTTTAGATGAGTGTAAGTGTTGGGCTTTATACTAGACACCCTTTTCCTCCCTCCATCCTTGACAGCCAAGTACAGCCAATACTTCACCTTGAGTAGTTTATTGATGGCTAGAAAATCTGCTGATTGCTTCAAGATCGTGGCCATGGAAAGGACCAGGATTTCATGGGTCATCTTGGCCTGTTTGACACTTGGCTTCTCAGCTCTAAAGACATACTGAGGCAAGAACAACAGTGTCAGTGGTGTGCCTGCTCCCAGCAGGGAGTCTGGAGAAGCAGTGTGTCGTGACTGACCTTTATGAAGGAGCGCAAGTAGTGGTCTAGACCTTCTTCATGGCACTTGGACACGATGTGCAGAAGAACCCTGAGGAGAAACGTGGTTTGTGTTCAGCACGCAACGCGAGAGCAAGTTCCTTCAGCTCACAGAAGTAGAAACCATGTGTGTCCTATCCTGCTCAACCTCAAAACCTGCTGGCACAGCCTGATTTGCAGAGAGCCAGCAGCTGCAGGCTAGCACCCCTCACAGCTCCTGTGGCTGCACCATCCTTGCACAAAGCACTCAGACACGAGGTAGCCAAAGGCTCTTCTTCACTTTTGTGCTGGACCAGGTATCACCCAGACCAGCTGACTTCAACACTCAAGACTCCTTGCACGATGAGATGAGATAAAACAGTCTCATTGTTTTTATAATCTGATACCTTCCTGCATCCCCTGAATTTATTAATTCTGGAAGCCTCCTTTTTTGTTGAACTTGCATCATATGCTTCTTGTTACATGCACTGGACTATTTTGGGTTGTCACGTTGTAGTTCAGGAGGGTCAAGCAGACCCTGGAGAATATGCAAGCCCTCTAGAAGCACTCCCAGGAGTGAAGGCAGCAAGAGCCTAGTTTCCCCAGCCAGCACTGAGGATTTACATTTCAGTTCCAGTCAGAGGGAACAACAAACTATTGCATGTTTTCACAAACCCCACAGGCCAAACCACAAGGAGCAGTTTACAAGTCATTTATCAGATAAATTGGGTTTTAAATTCCACTATGAAAGTCTGATGAAAAAACAGTTGCCATTAAACAGAAAGCTACTGACAAACTGGAGAGCATCAGGCCAAGCTTTGAAGAAATCTCTGGAAATTAAGGTGGGAGTTGGTCACCTGATCCCCTGTCCTTGCCCCCTGGTGATTTAAACAGAGTGGAATTACAGTATTCCACACAGGAGAAGTCTTCACAACCCGAAACATATGGCACAGGGCTGTGACTGCAATCCCTGCACTGCATCCGTGGGGGAGCAGGGCTCAAGTCCCACATCCCTGGGGGAGTAGGGCTCAGCCTCCAGCCTCCCGTTTCATGCTAGCAGGATGCTTCTGGTACAAGGATGCATGGTATGTACTAGAACCAGAGGAGGATCTCCATGGAGTGGCATCCAGCATCCCCTTTTGCCCTGGCAGCACTTCACTGAGGAATAACCTCAGGAGGAAGATGGATGTTTCAGTGCATCCCTCAGTTTCAGAGAGTAGTGGCCAGTGCTAAGCAGGGAAGGTGCTTTTGCCCCTTGAGCTCCCTTTGGTCCCTTGCCTGCCTGCAGCTGGGGCCTCCACGGGCCCGGGCTGGTGCCGCCAGAACAGCGCTGGGGGATCCGAGCAGGCACAGCTGGAGCGGCTGCTCCTGCTGCTGCAGCACAACACACCCAGCTCTGGGCAACTTGTAGCAATCCTGACAGAGGGACTGGTGTGCTGGGATGAGACCCAGGCATTGCTCCCCACATCTGCTGCCTGCAGCTGGGATGTGCCCGGATACTTCAGTGCCTATAGACACCCCAATAACTCAGCTTCCAGAGCCATCTCTGCCAGCAAACCCTTTTGAAAAACAAACCAGGAGTATCTTTAAAGTACCACATTTTTCCCCATGCATCTCCCAGGACCAGGGCCCCACGAAGCCCTACAACACTCAGATGTGCCAGGGGAAGAGAGCAGCAGGGGACAGCCAGTGCTGTCACTTAGCACCCTGTACTGGGAAACCAGACCCTGCTTTGCACTGTCATTTGTGGCTTTGCATTTGTAACCAAAGACTGGATGGTTTGCCCAACACTCACATGGTGCAGTTGACAGCTACTTCATCCTCCTGGGTCACGTTTGTGAGGACTCTAAATAGTTGCATAAGAATTACAGGTAGAAACTGAATCATTACTTGGATCTCCATGGCGTGCAAACACTAAAACAAATGTTCAAAACACAGACACTTTTAGTTCAACATTTTGCAGATGTTAAACATTTACAGTCCACAGACATTCTGTGGCAATAGGACAGGCGTTAGCAAATGCTTCAGGGTCTGGGCTTCAGCCCACTGGAGGATGGGGGAACTTGGACCCACAGCAGCACTCGCTGCCTCCTTCCAGCTGACAGATTCCAGCTGCACGCCTTTGAGGAGCAGCATGAATCACTCATGGTAGGTATTAATCCTTGTCTCCAATGTGCCCTGATAGCTATGACTTAATTAGAGGTCACATGCTATGGTTTGACTGAAAACCCCCAAAATTTAAGGCTGAAGTTTAGCTCCCAAGTCTTGTCATTACTCTGTGTCAGTTTTTTGAAATGCCATTTTCACAAGTGCCTTTGGAGCATGAAAACCTGCTGCCCAATGAATTGCACTAAGACTTTTCACCAAAAAGCATAGCTTGCTACCAGAAATGGGATTTAAGGGACTTGGTGAAGGTCAAGATAACCTGGTGCATATGCTCTCTACCCGTCTCATAAAACTCTTGTGTCTGAACCTCATGATATGAATCTAGGAAAGACAGTGCATTTAATTTTCAGTTTTCAAACGTGCAAATCTAATGAAGTGTTTTTAAATCTCCATCTAGTTATTGAAATAACTGAACTTATTGAGGTGTTGGTGATTAAGAATCCCTCACTTGTAGTTAGCACACACATGTCTCCCTGGCTCTAGGCTGCAGTGAGGGCGCTGGGGCTTGGCAGGGCTGGGACCTGACGAAATGCTCACAACAAATTTAGTGTGATTTTAGTGCTTGGCTTCAAAACCTTCCACTATTTCTATTTCTTAAAATATTTGTACATTATCTGCCACACATTCAGTAACTTTGTGGTGATACATCCCCACCACTGAAAGTGGAGCTGTTGCTACAGCAGCACTCTCAAAACCAGGCAGTGATGGAAGGAAATAAGGATAGTAAATAGCCAATATATAATATTCCTGGCAGAAGCCTTTGGTGGACCTGTTCCAAGGTCCTTACTCATGCTGCAGAAATTGCCAAAAAGCTGGGTCTAGGTCACAGGTCGCCTCTGGTCAAATTTAACTGGCTGGTAATCCCACATATCTTTTTCAGCCTTAAAAAAAAATCCTGTTTTGAATGGGCTTCCAGAAAACAAGGAATTGTGCTACAGTTTAAAGGTTGGAATCGGTCCTAGGGCAGCAGGGGAGGAATGTGAGGCCACCAGGAGGAAGGTTTTGCCATGAGCATGGCAGAGTCATGTTTGTTTTATCTGCTGTGGAAGGGAGGGGTGCAGCACACAGACAATTGTGTCAGTGAGTGAGGGTAAAGATACTGCACAGTGCACAGGGCCCCAGTGCTGCAGTGAGGGCCTGTTCCTACAGGGCAGGGGTCTGGGTACTTGCTGATGGTCTGTAAAAACACAAACAAAGCCCACCAACAGGCACTGTTCACCTTTAGGCATTTAACGAGTTCTCCTGGGACCTCCTTAGCTCCCGCCTGAACCAGCTGGCAGTACTGGAAGAATTTGTGCAAGTGTATGTCCTGGAAGAGACAAACGAGTTCAATTCAGCTGCCTCAACATTTGTCAACTACTACTCTGCAGCTTACATTCAAAAATCTGCTGTTTTACCTACAGCAGTGGGCCATGTCCCCATCAGTGGCTCTCTTGATCCCCAGCTGCCATCTCCAAGGACTGCAGTACTGCTCCTTGTCTTTTCCAACATACCCATCCACTGCCCATCCCCTGGCTCCCGACCGTACTCAAGATTTAAGCACAAAATTTCCAGCAGTGTTAAAATTCTCCTGTGTTGCACTACCCTGAGTCCCAATCCCCATCCAACACCGGCCTGGAAAAACAGAAGCCTTCCCCTCACAACTGCGACTCTTAGAGACTGCCTGACCTTCTGCATCACTGACATCCTACCGTCCATCTGAGGCAGGCTCTCCTTCCCATTGCTCTCCCTCCTCCTCCTCGGATAAATTTAATTACTGGGTTATTTAACCCTGAAAAGCATCTGGGAATGTAATGTGGTGGGAAGTGGAACTACTGCGCTGCTTTCAGTGTTGTACGGAATCACTAAGGCACTAAACCAGATTCAGATGCTGAAAGCGAATTTCTGTGAATGTACAGGCAGCTGATGACATTCAACACAGGACAAGTCCTGCCAAGAGCATTTTTCCATGAGCAGTGCTGAAAGGAGATGCCCCAGAGCATGTGCTGGGGATCTTTGCTGCACATCATGTGAAGCTTGAGGATGTCCACCACTACCATAAGGTGGCAGAATGCACAAGCACTTGATAAAACAGCCTGAACTAGTTTCAAAGGAAAATCAAGACTCTTGTTTTCTTGTGTCTGTTGTTGTCAGATAACTTATTTTTAAAAAAACTTAATAAACAGTCTAATATTAACTGTGGTACTCATTGGTCTTAGAGGTCTTTTCCAACCTTAATGATTCTATGATTTGTGGAAACCTCTCATATCCACCAGTTCTTCTCTCTTTTGTGTCATTGAAGCAGCTCATTTGCTCAGGTGTGTCCTTTGTCCTGCCAGTTACAGTGCAATGGACCAAGAAAACGTCAGCTTCTCCCCTGGGCTCATTCACTCACACAATCGTTTTATCACATCCAGACAAGGAGCAGATCCCTGCAAGTCATCTCAGCTCTGCTGCTACAGAAGTATCTCAGTGCTGCTCTGCAAACCAGGCACCTCTTTCCCACACCAGCTACGGTTTAGCAGCAGTACAGACACAGCAATTGCTTCCTCTGCATTTGCATTGCAAGTCTTTAAGAGTGAGGTGCTTGACTTACCTGGGTGTAAATTGTTGAGTCCAAATGGATTCTGATTTTAAACAGTGGCTTTGCTCCATCCACCCACTTTGTGTCCACACTGGGCTGCTGTGAACGAACAACATTCAAGTGCTTGGTTTCAGACTGGTGAGAAGGTGGCTCTGTGCAGACACACAGAGCCCACGTGCTCACTCTCCTGCACTTGCCATCTGCAACAGCCTAGTCCAGCCTGCCACCGAAATATTCTCTACAACCTGTATAACCAGGGACAGTGGAATTAAAGGTGTCCTGTTTCCCATCCCTAAGAACTTTAAGCTTTGGGGTTGCCCTGCAGTACAGTCCTTTCCAGCTGAGCAGAGCACCAACAGGAGCCCAGAATTTACAGTGGCAACAAAAGCTCAACTTTCCTCCTCCTTTTACATTTAGGCCCATTTTAAATGGCTTTCCTACCTTTCGTGACTCTGTGTCTCCAAGACCCAGGTAGCCAGGTGGAAGGTTGGATGAAACCGGCAGCTGCCGCTCCAGGGTGACGATCCGCCCATCCTTCAGCAACGGGACCCAGGAGTATCCCACTGTGGAGGCAACCAGTGGGGCAGAGTTAGCAGACCCACAGTGACACATGTTCAGCTCAAACAGAGCTGAACCCTGGGAAGTCTGAACTTGCAGTTGTGCAAGTGGCTTCAGCGAGGCTGAGATCAACCACATCAAGTGTTGTTAAAGCACCTTTTACCCGGTGACTTGGTGAATGAAATTCAGACACAGCACCAACCAAGACCAGGAGTGGGTTTGAGGGGCAGAAACAGTGCGTGAGCCATGGCTGTGCACCATGATGAGGGTCCTTTGAGGACTGGATGAATGGAGAGGCATCCAGACCAGTGGGACTTGGGTGTGCACACGTCTAGTGTGGGAAGGATCAGCTCCTGAGGCCCTGACAGAGTGTCAGGTTTTTGTTGGTGTCTTGCCTGAGAACAGCCCATTTGTGCAAGTCAGGAACATGCAGAAAGAGCTGTCAGATTGCAGCAAAAATCTGAGCTTTAGTATACACCAAAAACATTGAGTTTATTCCAGTTTAGACCTACAATTTTGCATTAGGTTGTTTTTAGAAAAGAAAATTCAGATAGGCGAGTATTTTAATCAAATATTTTTTTCACGACCCTACATTCATTTTATCTTGGCCTTTTCCACTCCAACAAAAATAATTTAAGCATTGAACATACCTTGAGTTTCAACGGTGTCCTGTTTTTTCGATGTTGCCTTTGTATTAATTTCACAGCTGACATGATAGAAGGTGAAAAGCAAATGATGCTTTTGATGGAGGTGAATTGGAAGCTCAATTTTAATCTAAAATGATATCATGATAGATCAGACTGTATTTTTGTGGAGTAATATTTTAGTTCTATTTTATTTCACAAACGCTATGTTGTATGCAGTTACACAAGACACATTCTTACCCATTTTAAGTAACTCCTGGCTAACATTTTCATCATATTTGCAACATTACTTATTAATGGGGGTGTGTGATTGGAGGCACAAAGCGTGACAGTAAAGACAGCAGAAAACAAACCGACATTAAAAATTGACAAAGGCTCTGGTTTTGCTGAGCCCTTCTGCTGAGGCAAAGGGTTGGTGATTATCTTTACCCATATTTCACCCAGCCCTGCAAAGAGAGGTATGTATCCCTGAAAAGCCCCTTGGCATTGTAGCATCCAGGAAAATCTGCTCTTTCCCACATTTTGTTTTTACCTCATCATAGAACTCTGGACTCTGGTTGTGATGCAGCACAGCAGCATATGCGTTTGTGGTCAGGAGAGGGCCTCCAGGTTTGCCATATATACACTGGAAACACAAATGAAGAGCTGAATTCAGGGTTGCTACCATCCTAAATTAGCCAGTCAAATAAAAACAGCGATGGAAACTTGGTGTTTTCCTATTGCCTGCTCAGACTGGCTGGCACAGCAGTGAGCAAATGGCAGTCCCATTGACAGGTACCCACCTTTAGCGGCCTGGCATCAGCTTCATCTGAATCCCTGAACTCAACACAGACAGCAATATTCCTTGCCTGAAATGGGAGAGAACGGGAGGATGAGCCATTGCTACAGGCCAGCAGCATCACCCCAGCCCTCGCTCCAGGTCACTCACCTTCGCAAACACCTTCTGGTTCTCATACTTCAAATGCAAGGGGTAGACATAGAGGTGGTTTTTGTAGACAGTGAAGGGGTAACAGTATTTTGCAACTTCTGGGACAAGCTCCTCCACTTCCACCGCAACGTCCTCACAGCTCTTCTCAAAAGGCTTTATAGGAATGTAAGAAGCTGTGACACAATCTGGAAGAAAATAAGAACAGAAAAAATTAAGTCCACTAGAAGAGCCTTTTGGACAGGAGATTAGCCTACAAGAGCTGCCAAAAGTCCATGGAGTGACACTGAACACATCACAAGTCCTTTCTTTGCCTCAGTTCCTTTAAATGCAAAGTAAAGAATCACACTGACCACGTTTGTGAAGCCCTCCAGTGTTATGGATCAAAAACGTCATATAAGATTGATGTAATAACACCAGCAAAAGCAGGCAGGTGGCTTCCTTTAGATTTAGGATGCAATGGCCAAACTGCAAAGTAGATGAACCCCTCAGGTAAACCTCTGCACTTGGCTCACATCCCTCCAGAGAATCCATCAGAAAGACTTACAAGGCAGTGGCTGTGCTGAATTACTCTTTTCTCATTGCACCCCCAAGATACTCTTGTTAATGAAACGGCAAAATTCCCCACAGAAGCATCAACTCCTGAGGCTCGAGCCAGCAGCATTTATTTTAAGATCCAAGATCCTTACTTGTGAAGTCTAGCGGGACGTCTTTGATAATGATATTTAACTGGGCTGGAATGACTTGTAGTTTTGTCTTCTCTGGTCTGCATTAAAGAGAAAGGAACAAGAGTGTGAATCTTGAAAGCTCAGGTGCTGAACACATCAGCAGCACTTCTTGCTACCCTCTGAGTGTCTTAGAAATTGTCATCTCATGCTTACACTTAACTGTTTCAAAATGTAATTTAAAATGCCTGCCCAGCCCCTACACCAGTCTCTCACACTTACTTCTTATACTCTGCTAAAAGTTTCAGCATATCTTCATTTGAGATTTTGCTGCTGTCTTGCTTGTAGAGGGGTGAGAATTTTCCTTCAGCATCAAGAGTGCCCTGGGAGTCTTTGAAAACTGGTCTGCAGAAAAAAAAAAAAAAAGGAGGTAAGTTTCCTAAATGTTGATAAATACACAGACACTGAGGTCTTTGGCATGTCTGAAAGGCAGTTTATAGGGTGAGAGGTTCACTGCCCTGCAACTGCTCTGCACACCACCAGACCTGACTGCTCTCCCATCCTCACATGGTGCTTAGACCCCACACAGCCTTCAATCCAGCGTGTCACACTGAATCACATGGGACATCACCCATTTCCCTTCTCACCAGCCAGGTCAGGAGGACACATCCAGCCCATTTCCAAGCCTGGTCCACAATCATGAACACCCTTCCATCTCCTCCCAGGGGATGCATTCCAGAGATGCAGAGCAACACAGTTCTCTGCACCAGGCCACTCAGCTCCTTGCTGTCCAAAGGCAGCTCTTTACCCAGCAGGAATAAATCTGAAGCCAAAGTCAATGCCCACACAGAGCCCACCATTAAGCTGAGGTACCACTTGAAAGAGGGCTGAGTGCTGGCTCTCAGGATTCAGATGCATCCCAGAAATACAATCTCGAAGGTGAGCAGCCAGTGTCACAGGAAAATCCAGCTCAAGAGTACACACTGCAAGCAATATACCATCAAATTCCATCCCACTGTGACAGTTTTCTGTGTTCCCATGTCATTACCATCCCTTTTGTCAGCATCAAAATGCAATTTAGCACTAGGAGGCAGTGGATGATCTTGCCTTCAGGCCTTCCTCTCATTGAGATCTGAGAGTTAGCAGTGACATCCTTTATCAGTCCCAGTAAAGAACAGCAAGGGAATGGGATTACTACCTCCAGCCATTCTCAAGAACATTAATTAAAGCAGAGTTTAAGATGGAAAACAAGCCCCAGCTGATTGCCACCTCCAGGCTGGGAGATCCTCTACTCTCTTGTCCCTGGCAATGGATGGTGGCAGGAGGGAGTTTCTGCACTGATTCCCGTGGTAGCATGGTACGGTGTAATTTGTTCCCAGGAATGTTCTTCCCTGACAGCAGTAGCTACAGGTCATTAGGAAGGTTACTGCCTTCCCAGCACTGTTTACTTTTTAATATTTTGTTTCTAATTCTAGATAGAGCATTTCAGGCCAATCCCAATTCTGTTTTGGGAGTCAGAGCCAAACTCTGCCCCCGGCTGCAGCTTCACTGACTTCAGTCACTTGGCCCTTTGCCCACTTGGCCAACTCGTGTCTTGGATAACTCACAGTGGCAGCAGCTCCTGCCATGGGCAAAGCCCAGTCTGAGGAGACTCACCTGGCAGCCCAACCAAAGGGCATCCGGTACTGCCCCAGACGGCTGCACACCTGCTTGGCCACCTTATGGACTTTCTGGGCAGTCTGCAAAACATGAGAGAGGTGGGTTAGTGTGTGCCAGGACTTCCCTGCTGCCCTGGGAAAGGAGTGAAGAGTGCTGCACTCTCCAGGAAGAAGCATCTCTCCATGAGGCACAGCTCCCCAGGCACACAGCACAGCAGTTGCTGCAGCAGCTGACAGACACCCCTGTTTGCCACTTCACACCATCCACAGTTATTACTTTGAAAAGCAATAGCAAACATTGAAGGCACAGTCATATTAAACCTATTATATTAGTTTATTTTCCAAAATTAACTGCAAGAGGCTCATCCCATACAGATTTAGAAAGTGTGCCAAGGGAATGCCATCATCATTGGGTGTTCTATAATTGACTTTTCAGGAACTAATTTTGAGTGGCTGCAACAAGGCAGCAGGAGCTCTGCTTGGCATGCAGAAACTGATACTGGCTGCAGCAGGGTCTCTCTCTTGCATATTAGGAAAAATTTCTTTACTGAAAGCATTATCAAGCACTATAACAGGCTGCCCAGAGAAGTGGTGGAGTCACCATCCCTGGAGGTATGTAAAAGACATGTCGAAGCGGTGTTTAGGGACATGGTTTAGTGTTGGGCTTGGCAGTGATGGTTTAATGGTTGGACCCAATGATTTTTTCCAACCTAAAGGATTCTATGTAGACACTTCATTCTGGGGATGAAGTGTGCCACTTTTTGCTGCCAGCCCAGGCTTTGCCTTGTCAAAGTGCAATGGGGAAAGGTCCCCATGCTCCAAGTGTTTGGCTCTTTTTAAAAATCCTCTGCCCCTTTCCAAGGGAAGGAATCAAATCTTCCAGGACAGCCCAGCTGAAGCCAGCCTGGGAACAGTGCAAACAGAACAGACGAAGGCTGTATTTGCCAGAAAGAAACTAAACAGAAGCAGGAACAACCCGTGTTTCAGACCACACTACTCCCTGCAGCAGAAGAGAGCATCACTAAGGAGATACTCTCATGGCCCCACCCAATACCTTTCCAGGGTCCGAATTCTTCATGTAGGGCTCTACACAGTGTGCAATGCTGCCCTGCAGCACCTTCTCCACACGGGCCACCAGGAAGATCTCTGCATGTGGGTCAGTCACGGAGAAGACCCCCTGCAACAGACAGGCAGCAGCTGTCAGACAGCAGGACACCTGACATGCACCGAAGGGTCTGCCCCCAGTCATCAAACTGTCCCTTCCCACAACCCACACTCACCCTGCCCTGGTTGCTCCTGTGGGTAGGCCAAAGGGGCTCACCAGGCTTGAGCATGGTCAAGTGTTGAAAAACTCTACCTGGTGCTCTGCCTGTCACTGCCGGCGAGCCCAAAGCGGCAAATTCAACACTGACCAAAACCCCACAGCTCCAGAGAAAAGCTGACTTGTGGTTCCCCATGCAGTGGGTAACACCACACTGCCAGGCTGCTGAACAGCCACAGCCTCAGCAGAGGCACAGAACGAGGAGAAGGGCAGATATTCACCCGTTTTATGTAGCGCAGGCAGGACTCGGGGACCCCGTGCACGAGGCTCTCGCCCGGCGAGCGTCCCTTGGCTCCCTCCGCTCCGGACACGGAGCTCTCCAGCAGCATCTCACGGACAGATGGGGGGTTCAGGTCCACGTGGAAGTCAGCTGAAATCTTGCAATTATTTTTCAGGTCGAATAACGCCAAGCTTAGGAAAAAGGGCTCAACCTGGAAATTTGATTGAATGTACGTTGTCAAAAAAAAAAAAATGCACGGCACAGGCTCGAGGGTATCAGCATTGCCTTCCCTGCTAAGGAAACTGGGAACCTTCTGCATGTGTTTGTGCCTTTAGCTTTGTATGCCAGCATTCTACAGAATTCTTACAGATAATCCATGGTTTTTGCTTTATAAATATACAAATCCACTTTTTCCCTGCACCTTCCTGCATTTTGATCTAGTCAATTAGAAAAAAGCTACTTTAAAGCCATCAATGAAATAAAAGGAATGAAATCCATATGTTTTTTACATAAGTGGCAAACTACAAAGTCAGAAAGAAAAGATGAACTCAGTTCATCAGAGCTGTTTATCCTTTGCAATGAGAAATAGATCAGCTTAACAGTGTTTATGATCACATGCTAAAGACCACTACTGATTTTCCTAAGTCCATCAGCTCTGGATGGCCCAACTGCGACACTCAAAACGTTCCTCAGATGCTCTCCCGGGAGGAAAGTTAGTTCTCCCAGCCAGGACAGCTCAAATACAAGGCTAACACTGCTGAGGAACTGCATGTGCAAAATCTGCCAACCTCTTTTGTAGCTACTGACCTTGACAACACAAGGCAAGTGGCAATAATTCATGTATTTTTAATTCAAAGATTGCAGTAGGCATGCATCCATGTAAAGACAAAAACCAAGGCCTGAAAATAAGACTGTAGAGTGCCTGAGACATTCCAGCATGACTCAAGGCATTACATCAATGCTGCAAATGTGCTGATTAGGTCTCACTCTGGACCTGATTAAGGATGAATAATAAGAATCTTTGCTATTAGTGATGTGTCCGTCCCCTGGGAGTTACTGAGGAGAACGAGCCTGGTGTCGTGTATGGAGCCTGCTGTCCTGTACTGGAGCTGGGAGCTGCCAATATGAAACCATCACAGAAAAGCCTTTGTGGTTCTAACAGGCATCAGGCAGGGCAGCATCAGTAGAGATGGGGCAGTGCCAGGGCTGCTGCCTCCCCTGTGATGCTACCTGCTGCTCTGGCACCCACAGAAAGGGGTGATCAGAGCAAGTGCAGGACAGGACAACAGGAATTATTTTGGGAGGAAAGACTGGAGAAGACTGGTCTGCTCAGCCCAGCAGCAAAAGGCTGAGGTGAGATGTAATAGCTGTCTACAGACATCAGAGGCTCAGAAAATAAAATAAAGAGAGTTTTAGGCTAAGGCACAACTTTGGCACGATAACAAATGCATATAATAAAATGGTTGTGAATACAGTTAGGCTGGGAGTCAGAAGAAGGTTCCAGAACAGGGAAATCCCTTGCCATTAGGGGAAATGAAATAAAAACCAGCCATGAGTGGTTTGGAGATGGAGCTTAATCATTTACCAACAGGACTTTCATAGGGACCCAGAATTTGGCAGACACAGGCTCCCCACTCCTTCTGCCTCTGAACTGCTGGTTTCCCAGCAGTCCCAGTTACTGCAAGCTGAGGCATGTCAGGACAGACCCTGTCCCCAAACACATTTTTGGAACGCCAAAATACCAAGGCAGACAAATCCTGCAATGACCCTGGGCCAGCAGTCACCGCCTGCCAGGTCCCATCAGAGCTCATGGTAAAATGGGATGTATCCACCCAGATTAATTTGCCAAGGGTTTTTCTTGCTGGTGAGGAGAAAGAAGACAAAGCAGGACATGCTGGAGCTCCCCTTACGTTGGTGGGTCCTCCTTCTGCCCTGTCACTGAGCTGAGCGAGGAGGTTGAGGGAGAAGTCCTGGCAGCACACCACAAAGCGCCTGCTGCACTTTTCCTCAAATGGCTTCACATCTGGCTCAATCCCCGAGAAGTCTAGTCTCTAGACAGCAAACAAACAAATCTGGTCTCATTAAAAAAGAAAATAAACCCCTGAATAATGTTAAGGGATAACATTACGGCCAATACTATCTCAAAGTGGTACAAAAGGTACAGGACACATTCACAAATGAGTGCAATTTGGTGATGTTACACAAATACAAGACATGAATTCATGGGGATGTATCAATTTTTAGCAACTTGTTTTGTAGAGCACAGCAAACTAAACCTCAGTATGATTTCAGTTCCTTCCTGCTTTGCTGTAACTCTGGGGATCTTCCCAAGCACCATTTAGAGCTTAGGGAAGAAAGCAGAACATAAGGCAATAAAAAAAGTGTCTTCCACCATGAAGATATGGTTAGTTTAGGAGATGGTCCCTGTGCCTGAAACAAACCTTTGCCATACCCACCATGCTGGCACTGGGGACACAGAGACCCCAAACACCCCTAAATACCAGCAGGTCTCTCAATGACAGTCTGGCAGAGTCCTGTTCGCTTTTCTCCCTCAAACCGTGCAGAAACCTGCATGCCAAACACAAGGTGCTGATATCCCAATTCAATCAACTGATTTCAGAAAAACAGGCTGCAATTGTTAATCCAGTTTTGAGGAACTCTTTCCATTGTTTACCTTATTTCCATTCCAGAGGAAGGTACGTTGCAGGTGTAAGTTCCTGCTCCCAGTTTCCTCAGCACCAGGCATACAAGTGTGCACATACACACCAGCATTGACTAGGGCAATGATTTTGAATGCCTGGTGTGATAGCAGATCCAACTGACCCACATCAGAATGAAGAGCTCTTTATATAAAAAGAGGGTAATGAATTCAGCCTTAGGTAAAAAAAGTTATCTTAGGTGCTCTGCACTAAATAATATTTCCATTTTTATTATCTGACTAAAACATGAGAAACTTCTCAAAGCTTCTCTTAAAAAAAAAAAGCAAAAAGCCCCCTGGATGCTTATCTTGTTTCTGTTAAAGACCTTAAAGAAGGGCCAAGAGAAAAACTCATTTTGCACAACTAAACCTTTTAAAGACTAATTGCATTTCCTTGTTAAACCAGAATGTTCCATTTCACAGGTGTGAACAAGCCAAAGCATGCCAGAAGGGGAACGAGAAACTGTGAAATAACCTGGAACAATTCTCTAAAACTGTGTTAACAATTGCAGCTCATTTCACTGAAATCCCACACCTGGACCTTGGCAGAGAACTCAGCAAAGTTCAAAGCCAAGAACAAAACAGGCTAATAGACAGCGACCCTCTCCTCCAGTGAATCAGACCAGCACAGGGTGTTTTTTCTGTTTGTATGTTCCTACATTTGAAAACTGCCTGAAGACTGAGGCTCTCCCTGTAAACCCCTATCATGGCCTTTACCACCACCACTCCCTACTCCAGATGTGCTGAGCCCCATGCAGCACTGCAGGTATCCTTGCAGTAACACCTCTGCTGCTTCTTCTGCAACCATGAGAACCTCCCAGAGGCACAGATGATGGGTTTGAAATCCAGCAACATGAAGATCCATCACACAAAAGCCAGCAAAGCTGGAGGGAGGCCCTGTGTGGGGCTGCTGCGAGTCTTCCCTGTATTTGAGCTGTCACCTGAGCACTGACATCTCATTCTGCTCTCACTGGCAGGGTATGGGCTGCACTTCTGTTCTCCAGTCCAGAGAAACATCCTGCCCCTGCAGGCAAATACTGTGGCCATGCAAGGGAACAAGGGAGGCACGACACAGAGAACAAAACCTCACACTGGCAAATGTGGGGATGTTTACCTGGACTTCTGGGTCAAAAGAAAAGATGTTTTGTCTTCCATCATTTCTGCTGAGTTTGTTCAGCTGATCTGTTTCTCTTCCATACTAGGACAAAGGAAGGCATTGACATTACTGCCTGGCCACACAGAGGCAAACATTCGTTAATGGGAAAGAAAGGAATTAAAACAAAATAATTATTTTTCAGGTTCCCTTTGTGATATGTGAGATATGTAAAGCATCTTGGCTGCAGCCACCAACACGGTGCAATGACAGTACAGTGATGTGGCTGTGCCAAATGAGAAGGCAGGCAGGAGCAGGCAACCAAACCACACTCTGGATCATAAACAGGAGGTAGCTGCTGCCTAACTCCCCCTCTGCTCCCACAACCAGGATGGTCACACCTGATGAGCCCAAATGAGCAGTGCTGATCACAACAGTCCTTCATTTGCCCTAAATCTGGTTATTCCTCAAGGGAAGAACCACAACCCACCACACTTGGAGGTGAAGAACATGTGGCCTCAAACCATGAAGCTTCATCCATGAGACAGGTAGGTGAGATAACAGACCCCACCAGCACCTGGTGCCTGCCCAGATCCCCCAGATCTGAAGGTACAGAAAGTAGAAAACCCCTTTCAAAGACAAGGTGGACAAAATTAGTTATGGGTGGGGAGAGTGATCTCTGCAAACACGGTACCTTCATCAGCTCTGGATGCATGCTTCTCTCCAGGCTCTCCAGGATGTTCTCTGATTTACCCTGCGTGCTTGATTCATCATCTGCAAGGACATGAGAAACAGATGTTCAAAACAACTGCAGCACCACCACTCTGCCAGAGAGCATCCTGCAGTATTTGCTAACAATAGCACAAAAACAGTTTACGGAGATTTTTCCACTCCTTGGGAGTAAGATTTTTCCATACATTACTAGTATCAAAGTGTACTATTACAGTCTGCTAGGTCTTTCCAAAGCAAAACTTCAGCACAGAGCCAATTTTCCAGGAGCCTTGAAACTTTGCCATGGATTTCCCTTCCAGAAGAAGGGTCACATTTCCCTCCACTTTTATTCCTCAGACTATAGTCTCTGTTGTAATAAGCCCCTCTGCATGATATTATGTGTCAGCCACAATTCTTGCTATTTATACAGCACACACTTCTCCAGGCACACTGCTTGCATCCTGCTGGAGAAGGGAGAAGGTAGGCGTTTATTTACAAACTGACCTTGCACAGATTCCACAGTATCTTTCTTCTCTTGCACCAAACTCTCAGTATTGCTCTGAATGATCTTTCTCAGGGTCACCAGCCATTCTTCCATCTCCTGCTCAGTTTCAGCTGCAAGGTAGTGGCTGTACTTGTCTATTGTCTTCAGTTCAAATGCATAACGGCGCATCTTGGGACACTGAACAAACACAGAGACTTGTATTACATTTTCCTCAACAACTCAGCACAGTACCTGCCCCACAGCTCCTCTTTGGGAAAGCATCCTGAGCTGAAATACCACAAAATACAATGCAGCACCCTCCCTGACACAGCAATCCTGCAGCAATCACAAAGGGCTTCCCAGCTGTGACCAAGCAGTGCACAGGTCCATGGCTGCCAGCTACTCTGAGAGTGAAAGAAAGCCAGACTGAACCACAGACACTGCACTAGGAGCAGGAGCAAGCTCCTTCTGATGTCCTCAAACCTTTAGCATTTGCCCAGAGAAGCCAGTAACTGCATTTGTCCGACACAATAAGTAATGCTGTGCTCCAGGACACTTAGAGGCAACTATCTTAAAAGCAAGCGGTTCAATGCAACATTTCGGAGCTGTGCTGGCCTTTAAACAGCATTTTCCAACCAGAAGCCAAAGCAAATCTGATGCAACTTGGGAATTACATCCCGTACATCACTGAGGCGTGTGCATTACTGCTTTTACTGTGTTCAGAAAGATAAATGGGAACTCACAGCTCTGACTCATCCATGCTAAAGCAAACCACTGGGGTAATTTAAGCTGCCCTGCACCAGCTCCACCACACTCAGTGCTTGATGCTTCTGCAGAGACAGCAAGGGCAGAAGGCACAGCAGGAACCCACTGCTGCCTCTCACCCTCACACAACTAAGCAAACCCAGGTTTTAGACCTGTACAAATCCCTGCTCCTAAAACCTTACAAGCCTTGAGCAGGTTCTAAGTCCCAAAGAACTGCATGTTTGCATGGACTTATCAGGATGTGACTTAAGAAACAAGAAGCTGATGCAAGCAGCAAATAGAGGAAGGTGCCCAAGATAAAGTCACACCAATTACTAACTGGTTCAACCTTCAAGGTCTTGAAAGGCACCTGACCTACAATAACAGGTGAAAGAGATGGACAGAACAGGGAGGCAACAGATGAGGTAATGATGAAATGCTTGCATTTTACTCTTCAGCAGCTCTTCCTAGCCAAAAGTATGGCACCTTTGTGAAATGCCTTGTCTGCCTGTTGATCAGTTTAGCTGACCAGCTCTGGATTAGTTTGCAAATCCATGCCTTCAGACCTCGAGAGAGCACATGTATCTCAGAGCCAGCAACGCAAAAGTCCATGTGCAGCCACACAGAAAGCACACCTACCTGAACAACGTCATTGCAAGCGTCCAAGAAAATGCAGCCTTTGGATTCTTTTGAAATTTTCTCATCTTTATAGGAATTTAGAATATAGGAGCCATCTGTGAGTTGTGACAAGTAAAAATACCTCCTCTTGAATACCTGCAAAAGTACAAAGTCTTGCTGAGGCAAATATTTACTCTGTTGTAGATCACAAACCATGGCCCTGGTTTCCCTATTCGTCCTCCCTGCTGCTGAGAAAATACTGTAACAAGAAACACTGCTGACTCTATAGTGTTGCAGATTCACCTATTTCACTATGATTTGCTTTTATAAAGAGGGATTTCCATCATCTTCTTTAATTTTAATGTCCTTGTTGTTATTACAAGTTTGCCCAGCTAAAGCAAAGCTCCAGGGCTTCCAGTTTGTCTCTCAGCTGGCTCCAGTCTCATTTATCTTTACAAAGTAATGCTGCACAGTAAATTCAGATCAGCACATGGCTTGAAGATTCATTCCACCTCAGAGCAGGTATTTCCAGAGCCTTTTTGATATAGGCCTCAGCTAGAATTACAAAGGAATTGTCTGTAAGACTTTGGAACAGACATGTGGAAATTCCTAGCACTCGAATGCAAGCCAAGGGATGCTGTAATCCAATGAACTGCTTGGTTTTTTGTGACTTTGGGTTTATTTTTCTTATACAAATCTATTTTCAAGAACTGTTTTTGGCTTAGTGTTCAATTCCCACACCAAAAAGCAATAACTTTGGGAGAAGTGTTCCTTTGTTTGAACTCCTGATTTTTACGAAGAAAAAGAAGCTCTCCAGTATCTCAGAGCATCTCCCTTCATGCTTGTCAGCCAGAAGACACTGGACTATAACTCAAGAGCACATTTTGGCAGCAACTGGGGTAGCAGCACATGCTGCCAAGTCTGTAAGGATCAGGGTGCATTTCACAGTTGCTGGGTATCTGTGTTAGGAGAATCACAAAGGAAGCTGGGGCAAGCAGCACTGCAAGTATTTCTACTGGTCTGTGTATCTGGAAGATCTACAAATAAACACAGCATTTTTCATCCCACATGGGAGATTACAAGTAATTTCCTGCTCCCATCATTACAGACACTAGCACATGTTCAATAAACCCACTCAAGTGCACAGAACTGGGAGGAAGCATCGTGCTCTGAACCATAACTTAACCCTGCTGAAAAGTAACCTCTGGCATCCTTTGGATGACTAATTAGCTGTAGAGATGCTCCAAGGTTGTTGAGCTTTACGTTTTTTAAGATCTAACTAAACCTTCAGTTCAACAGAGCATAAAAATACGTGGAAAGCTAAGGATGCAAAGCGTTAAGCCAGCTTAAACACTGATTTAGCACTTCACTGAATCAGTCTCAGGAATTTTGGCAGTGGATGCTACAGAAACCCATGACAGATCTCTCTCTAGATATTACAGGGTTGATATCACTAAACCATTTGCATCTGATGAATTCTGTTCAAAAGTAAATGCAGAATCAAATAGCAAACACTATTCCTATGATCTTCCCCCCTTGTAAGCACTGCTGTCAGAAGACAATGATTATTTGAAATTAATACTATAAACCTAGGAGCAGAGAGAACAGGTGCTGCTGTTGAGCACTGTGAGTGCAGAGGGATGTCAAGAACTGGGCAAGTCCATTTGGGCGGAGAAGGACAGAAGGACAATCTGGACACTGTGGTTGTAGTGTAGCACAACACACGCTGCAAACCAGACAGGGAGAGCTGGGCCAAACCAGGGCATTTCTCTGTAAAGGAAAGGTTGCTCTGAAATAAAGGTTGGCAGCTGTAGCCTAATGACAGTTTGCTCATGGGCTGGCTCTCCACAAAACACTCTGCTCATGCTTAGCAACAGTGTGAGGTACCAGCAGCTCAGCACAGCACAGCAATGAAAGAACCAGCACTCACAACTGAACACAGCACAGCAGCCTCTCCAAGTGGTGATAAGGCCAAAGGTGTTCAAAGTCCTCAGCTTTCATATATGTGCCTTGGAGTTGTGTGTTTAGTAAGACACAGAAGTGACCAGGACCAGCTCAGAGAATGAGTACTGATTTTCAGTGCTGTGATATCAGAGTTTCACTGGAGGCTCTGGATCATATTAATGGAACTGAAGCCAGTGTAGTTCAAATGACTTCTCAGAAAGGTGGGTCTGAGGTGCTGAGACCAATTACCACAAGAGGCTCAGACCAGAACAGACCCAACTGACTGCTTTGAGCAGTCATACCTCCTCCAGAAGTTACAGGCAAAAAAAATTGCTTCAACCTTGCTTGGAAAAGCAGAGGATCAGAAAATCCTATTCTGTCTATCGCCTTCAAGCCCATTTCAAAACTCAAATTAAAATTAGCCCTATGAACAGTCCTGTTCTGCTTCTCCTGAAAGCATAACTCATTGAATTGAGACTTGGAACAGCCAGGCTATTTGAGATTTTTTTAATATACCCTTGCAAAGCAGCCTCACTGCAGCCATCCTTCAGCTGCACCACTGAGCATAACTCCCTAACACTCTCTCTAGCTGTAACAAGGCAGCTGCATGGTGGGACAGCACATGGGCTCATTGCCACAGCAAAAACCTATGGTGTAACTATTAAAAATCTCTGCACAATCTAAGCAATGTCACGCCAGATTACGCAGAGCAGAGAACAGGAGACAAGGCAGCTGTTGCTTTTAGGTCAGCAATGCTCTGTCTCTGCAGTGATATCACCCCTGCTTTTAAAGCAAAGATCTGTCATTTCAGTTTAAAGCTGGCCTCCCTGCATATTTCCTACCAGCAAGGAAACCATCAATTCAGAAAGTTGTCTTTTCAGGGCAGCTGTTTCAGTTATTCAAGCTGCCTTCCTCTCCTGGGCCTCAGCTGCTCACTCAGAAAACAATCCTGCTATACCAGAACACGCTTCACCTTTTTGCTCAGCTTGCCCATCATGATCTGAACTGCATCAGTCTTACATTCTGGACAGGGAAGGGTGGAAGACTGTTGCCAGATTGGGTTTTCCAGTCCACCATGGGATACTCTACAAGAGGGACGGATGCCCATCCAAAACCAAACCCACTCACTGAGCTCCTGTGAGCTTCAGAGATGTGGTCTGAACTTCACCTCATGCCTTGTTCACAAGTAACTGGATCAAACTCACCTTCATGGTAACAGTGATGGTGCTATTTACATTTGCTTTGTGCAGCCAGCCCTGCTTTATCACACCGCCCTTCTGGGAGCACAGGGATGAGGAATCCTGAAAGACAGGAAAATATTAGAAAAAGAGGAGGTCAGGTGAACTCTGTCTCACAGAAAATTCCCCCTGGGCACAGGGATTTGTCCACACTGGAAAGCAATACCATTTTAACTACAGCAATACAGTGAAATGAAGAATGTATGTGTAACAGGTACAGCTACATAGACAGTGTTATCACAAAAAATTTCAGGGATATCTCTTTCCAATAAAGAGGCAAAACAGGCTAGTTTGGGTCACCTTTAAAAAAAGAAAGATTACATCTATGCCAATAGGCACAGCACTTTTGCAATGAGGAAATGCACGTTGGTTCTTGTGCAGTATTTCAAAAACCTGGGGAAGAAGGAAATTTTCAGAAAGGCCTGTTTAGGAAGTTGCAAAATGCAGAACTCGGGACTTATTTTGTCATTTTCTTTTGTCATTCCTCCATTTTAAATTTAGGCAAAAATCATCAAACCCCAATAACTGAAATGAACTGGCTGGTTTCACATTTATCAAAACAAAACCATGACCTCCACTGGGGAGGGAAATAAGAGCACAGAGTGATGAAAAAAACTTGCCCTGGGATTTCCACTGAATCAGCAGCAGAGGCAGCCCTGGCCTGTCTGATGATGAGCCATGAAGGGACTGGTTTATATCGCCTGCTGCATCCCAAGGGGCAGGTTTTCACTCTTTTCACATCAAACTTCCAAAGTAAATTCTCTGATACTTTATTTCCCTGGGTAAAACAACCCATGATTTCTCCTTTATAATGCTTCACCTTTTTTCACCAAGAGATTTCTTTTATTTGGATTTCCATTACACAATTCTAATGCAAATGCTCTGTTAGGAAACTGTAACAGAATCCTTCAGATACGACCATGCCAAAAGATATAAACATCCAAACATCTGCCAAAGCACTTGGAATACTCTTCTACAACAAACCTCAGTAACTTCTCTTGTTTGAGTATTTGGGACACTGGCCAGAAGAAAAAAGGTCTCCAAATTTTGATAGCATATTCTTGTCCTTTTGCTTTCTCAGAAGCATGCTGATAACATAGTGCACAGCAATGTCTCCAGCCCAGATTAGATATTATTAAAGAGGGAACACCTCAAGTTAATGATGTAAAGCAAACCAACAACACAGCCAAAAAAAGATTAAGGCCAAACTTGACAAAACATTTCCATATATAAAGAAGCCATCCTAGTCCAGACCCGAAGTGTGCTGGGACATACACAGTGATTGTGAGAAATGTGCATGAAACAGCTCCTCCAAATCTTCAGCTCTCCAACAAAGAAATGTCCTTTTCCCCCTGTAAGAATCTCAGCAGCAGCATCTTCATGCCATGTGAACTTTAAACATCTGGGCTAAACCCTTCCCTCTGTAAACAAAAACTTCTTAATGTCACAATTATGGATTAAGCTCCCCATGGTACGTGAGACAGAAAAATGTCTGTCTATGTCCCTCATTTCTGTAGCAAACATGACACTGCACCATCCAAAATAACCATCAGGTCTGAGATGTCCCAATTGTCAGAGCCCTCAGATCATTCCCATGGAGGGCTGCAAATCCTCCCTGCAACCAGTTGAGCACAAACACTTCAACTTCTAGAGGAAGCAAATGCCTGTACAGAGGACTGACACATGTGAATATGTTGGGGAGAAGTGACTGATTAAGAATGGCAATGTCATGTGGAAAAGCACAAAACCTTTCAGAAGAGGATCCCGGTATGCAGTGTCGTTGAAAAAGAGATTGCCTACTTTTAGTTCTGGACATGAGGAGTGTTCCTCAGTAAGTGGTTGGTTTCCTTTTTATTCTCTTCTACTGATGCTCTGTTTCAAGTGAAAAAGCCATGACAAATATGGATAATCCTCCAGATAATTCAGGAGACCCTTGGCTCCAAGAAGTTATCTTGTCATACTTTGAAATAAACTATTGTCTCACTTTTGATCCCATCTTCACAGCACTAAGCATCTCACCAGAAAACTGCTCCTAGGAACTGAATTCTACCTCTGCCTTGTGAAATCTTCTTTTTAACAGATCTTAGGGTGGTATATGTAAAAAAAACCCCAAACTTCTCCTTACCTCATCCTTTTCAAAGTCTTCATCAATTTCAAACACATGGCTTGGAATCTTGTCTGGCCTGAAGGATTTGCTGAAATCACAACACATTTTCATGTTTAATGACTGGAACACAAGGGTCCTCTGAGCCAGCAGCTGATGCTGGATCCAGAAGCAATAGCCAAACTGCAGACTATAGAGCACAGAAGATAGATTTCAAGAGACCTACAGCCCCTTACAGCTGGGGAAAGCTAACTTCTGAGTGCATTTCATGGAAATTAAGCACAAGCAGTCTGTAATTAGCTTTCTCTTGTTAGTTATCTGATTCTGCAAACATTTTGCTGACCTGCATTTATGCAACAAAGAGATACAGCAGGCCAAGTTTATCTTCCATCTTGCTAAAAAAGAAGCAAGATCAGACTGCAGATTATTCACAAATCTTAACACGATTTGATCGACTGTGTTACCCCCGTTGCTGCTTCACATCCCTGTGAGACCACCAGAACAGACCCACTTCAGCCAATTAGGAAGAAAAAGCATTTAACAAGCTGCCAGCATTGGAGCAGCCTGGACAGGGGTCCAGACATGCCCCAAGTGTGGGCAGTGAGAGCAGGGCAGGCGCCACCATGGAGAAAATAAGAATCCAGCAGAAATCAAAGATGTATGTGCCTGTCTGAGAAACCCAATTAGCTTTGGAGCTGGAATCACTGGCACAGCCCAGCATTTCCAAGCACACAGCTTCCCAGCACTGCCAGCATTAGCAGCAATACCACATCACTGGACTGAAGTTGTCCAGCAACTTCTCTGTACTGAGAGTACAAGGAAAATCTGCTCAGTATGGGAACACCGTGTGTAGCTCACAGGGAACATTAGCCCAGCGGGACAATGAGGCTCCTGATTCGGTCTGAGCAGACACTGCCAGCACTATTTACCCTGACATGAATCTGGACTGCAGTCCACCCTCATCCCAAGTGGAGGGGGTGTTTATACACTGGTGGATGCGATGTGAAGCAATGACCCACACTGACAATACTGTGGGCATCTCCCTGACAGAGCTGAGTGACAATGGCACGATAACACAAACCACCTCTGGCTCCCTAACCTTCAGAGTGACATACCTCTGGAGCAGAGGCTGCTTGTGGGACAGGCATCAGGAAAAGGGCAGACTGCTTCTGCTAAACCCTATCAAACCCCAGCCCTGTGACTACGCATTAGTATTCCAAGGGAGCATGACACTTACCATGGCAACATCCGAAAGTCTCCTGAGTATTCCTCATACTTGTAGTTTACCACGTGCCAGTCAGAGCTGTAGGTTTTAATGCACTGAAAGGAAAACAATACAGCTCTTTGAAAACTACACCAGGCAAAACAAAACCAGGCACAAGTCAGAAGGGCTACACACTGGGTGAGGGAAGCACAAGTGGAAAGGGTCTGAACAAGACTGCTTCACTTGTTTTATGTTGCAATACAGAATTTCATAAGGAACCTTTACAGCACAAAGACAAAAATCACACAGCATCTGGCCTGCCACACAGCTACAGATTTTGTATTTATGTTGCTCCAAGGCTCTAAAAAAGGAGTAGTGATTTGGGAAGAGACTTTTTTTCAGAAAGCACCAATTTTCTCGGAAATGTAGGCATCACTTCGCATTTAGTTCCACTGCACTTGGAGGGAGCAGTCCTAGAGAGCAGCACTTTACAGAACAAACCTGCAGCACTCTGGATGCTCCAGGGAGGTTGTGTATCCCCCCTTGCCCTGCTGCACTTCTGCACCTTGCAGCTCAGGCAGGTGGTGCAAAGCCACACACCTTGTCTGTGAAGAAAACCCACTGGAAAGATGCGCTGCACAAGAGATGCACATGAGGACCCTCCCATGCAGCCACCCTGCCAGCAATCAGTGCTTCCCACAAAGGAAAAACCAAGTGATCTGCAACCCTGCAGATCAGGAGCTACAGCTGAGCATCCTGCCCAAGAGACAAAGTGCTGAAGGCAGGTGTCACGTGGACTTTGCCCCTACCTCTTTGACAAAGAGACTCTGAGCTTTCTTTAGAGCATCTTCTGGCACTGTCGACTGGACAGTCCTTCTCTGTCGGCCGATGACTGAGATCTGCACAAAAAAGGGGAAGATGTTGTCAGTGCAAACTGCATCTTCAGGGCTTGACACTCGCTTTAAATGAATGTGGTGGGCCTAAATCACCAGTGGGTCATTTTGGTTTTATGTGTCACTACTGCAGCCAAAATTAACATGTGGTTAATGGTGGAAGTTTTCCAAGGTACACAGGACCGGAGACGAGGGAACCTCAAACATGGGAAACAGCCAGTGCAAACTCACAGACACATCTTCGATCGGAAATATCAGCAGGTCCCGGAGGGGATCACTGTAGATCTGAACTCTGCGTTGAAGGATCACGTTCTCATAGTCCAAGGGTTCCACCACTTTGGTTTTTTCCTGTAGGAAAAACAGAAGATGAAAAAAAATTACGTATATATAATATCTAAAATAACCAGTAACAAACATCTTGTGCTTAATTAGCCTGATGATTTCAAACTGTGTGACCGCTGGACTGGCTGTTACCTCAGCACTCTGACACTCCTGTGCTGCAGCGTGGTTTGCAGGAGGGAAATGATGGGTTAAGTTATTTGTGTCTGGTAATAAGCTATGGGAAGAAACAAAGCACTGTGCTGCTCTCCTCTCAGCACAGTCTCTAATTTCTTAATGGAGCAAGAAATCCTCCTGGACAGTCCATAGCTTTAATAGCTGCAAGATCCAGTATCTTTATGTTTGAGCAGCTCATCTGTGCAGCTCAGAAGAAATATGGGCTCCTATGCTGGCTCTGCTCTGCTCAGAGCTGGTTGTGCTTGAGGAGGAGATGAGAGTTGTGCTCTCTCTGGAAATGTGCCACAGGCAGGATGAGAGCAGGCCTGCTGCTATGACTGCCAGAGCAGGAATCTCACCCCATAGAAGGAAGAACAGCATCCCCCTGGAAAGACAGGAAAGCCCTCTCCATAAATTGCACCTCAGACACAGCCAAAGGCTGGAAAAATCTGGAGCCTAGTTTTGTTCTTACTCACATTTCTGGGAAGCAAAAGGAACCTCTCCAAAGTCTCAGGAGTCAGAAGTAAATCTACTAGGAGAGCTCCATTACATTCATTATTACACTCATTTCGTATGTGTTACAAGTCCAAAAAATGAAACTTAAAAAAATAAGAAAAGCACAACTTCTGAAATAGGCAAGTGCCATCTCAGCTGCCCTGACTGACTTCAGATTTCATGAGCAAGAGTCAGGCCCTCAGCATTGCACTGTGAAAAATCAAACATCACACCAAAAGCCAAACCATGACTCTGTATAGGAATGGTCACAAGAAAACAGGAAGCAAATTCTGACACATCAGCTTTGCCTTGTTTTGAGTCTTGACCAAAATCCTGATGCCTGACCCTGCCACAGACAGTGTTTATGAACCCCTCCCAGCAGCGCGTGACGCCACGTGCCTCTGGAGATGATGCCACGTGCCTCTGGAGATGATGCCACGTGCCTCTGGAGATGATGCCACGTGCCTCTGGAGATGACATCCTTGCACAATGGCATGTTTGGACTCTCAACCCTCGTGGGAGGAACACTGGATGCTTCCCTCTGGGCAGCAAACTTTCCCTGCCAGTTGAATGGCTTTGCTGGGATGAACTGTTCACATAGACCAGAGCTAAAGACAAGACCAATACAAGGTCTCTTGCTGATTCAGCACAACCTGCAGTCTAAGAAAATGAGCCCAAAATGAGGACAAAAGGCTCAGCATTGTCTAACACCACTGAGTAAACAGCCACACCACCAAGAGTACAAACAACTCAATATTTTCTGTGACATGAGATAAGCCAAGAAATCAAGGTTGCTCTTCCAAAACCATTTCTAGCCAGAGGTTTCTGCCCTGTGCCTTTGGCTCCTCAGGGTCTGGGATGCAGTAATGAACATCTTCAAGGCCTTTGCAGCAAATGTGATCCAGGGTTTTGCTTTAGTGACAACTGAGCATCTCCTGTGTTGAAGCAAAGCTGATGCTGGGACTTTGGAGAGGCAGTTGTCACATTAGAGGGTAATGGCCCCAGGCAGGAGCTATTTGGAGATAGTCATATTTTAAGCTTGTTTTAATCTTTTTCTGAAATGTTGCAGAAAATCTTTGTATGATAATATCTTCTCATATACCAGCACCTTTAAACAACAACAACAACAACAAAACCCCAAACAAACAAAAAAACTAAACAAAGAATTGTAGAAAAAAAAATCTTTCCATTTTTGCCATATCTGGTAACTGCTAAAAAGAGAATAAAAATCCAGGGTCTGCAGCAAACTTGAACAGTCCTTTAGGCTGGAGCAGCAAAGGCTGCCTGTAGCTTCCCTTACCCAAAGGACCAGCCCCACTGAGCAGAGGCTATTCCTCTATCCCAGGTGCATGACTGGTGCTTTTAATAATTGCAAAAAGCAAAACCAAAATGAAAGCTTTTCCCCACAGCACTTCAGAAATGCAAGGCAGGTACCTTTTAAGCTGTGTTTCCCAGCACTGCATCCCAGCAGCAGAGTGACATCCAAGCATCTCTCTGACGGGGGACAGCACAGAGCCTATGTACAATTAAGGCCAGTTTTACTAATGTAAAGGATGCCTGGGTCCTGTGTGAGCCTCCAGGTAGAGCAATTTCTGCACAGCCATCCACTGAGCACCTGCTCTGTCCTGCTGCTGGCTGTCACAGAATCAATAAGGTTGGGGAAGACCTCTAAGGTCACCAAGTCCAACCATTAACCCAGCCCTACCAGGTCCACCACTAAATCATGTCCCCAGGTGCCACATCTACACATGTTTTTAACAGTTCCAGATATGGTGGTTCCACCACTTTCCTGGGAAGCCTGTTCCAATGCTTGACCGCCTTTTCAATGTAGAAATTTTTCCTAATATCAGATCTAAACATCCCCTGGCACACCTTCACTCTGTTTCCTCTTATCCTATTGTCTGTTACCTGGGAGAAGAGACCAACCCTCACCTTCCGCAAAGAAGCTTCTACTCTTGGCTGGGGAAACTCCTGCCTCAGACAGTTTTGCACCCAAAATATCTTTTTTCCATGCTACAGAAATCCAGTATGGATTAGCTTAGATACCTGAAACAAAGTTCCCTTTGGTTGCCCTCTGAAAATTTTGCTTCACTGCTCACAGAGTCCTGAAAAGAACCTCACACGCCTCAGATTACCAGTGACAAAGACAAAGGTCCGTCGGCAGAGAGCCCATGCTCAGTGCCAGAGCATCCAGGGACTGCTGCCTGCTCCCTCAGCCATGGGGGATTTGGGAACAGGGTGGCAAATGCTGCCAGCCACACTACACACAGAGCGCTTCTTCCTCCTGCATCCAAGACCTGAGCTGCACAGGAATTTAATAGGAAAATAAAAAGCCCATCTGAAAAACAGGACTCTGAAAAACCCAACAGGTAGATAGAGAAAAGGAACTCATTTACTCTCAGTTAGTCTCATGCTCATTAAATGCTTAACTGAATTTGGTTAATCATCTGAAACACTGGTCTTAATGCAGGACAGCACAATGCACTTCTGAAAGTTTGCCAAGCTTTGCAAATTGATGTGAAATAACAGGATACCTATTTGAAAGTCTCGGGCCAGGTGTCCCCAAGGCTTGTCTTCCCCACAAGACCAGGCAGGACCCCATGGAGTCCATATACCCACTGGGTGTATGGCTCTGCTGACCTCTCAAATTTACCTCTCTTGCTGCTGATCACTGCAGCAATCCTGGCAAAACTCAGCAGCATCAGCGGGTTAAAGCAGTGCTATGAGCACTCACATCAACTTCCCTCTCAACTCACTCCCCACAGCACCTGTAACAGGAAATAAGATTCCCTCTAAGACCACAGTGCTGTGGCTTTGGGAACACTGAACTCAGGCCTTCTGATCACACAGTATTTTAGTCCTTTTTTATTTTGCAACATGGTCCTGGAACTAGGACTGTGTTTCTAAAGATGTCCTTTTTAAAAGCTGGGGCTTTGAATAACATTTTTTTTCTAGCTTTGACACCAGTAAGACAAGGTCCTGGCTGTCATCCTCATGGGACTCAATGACAACTAAAGGATAAGGACTGAAAAGGATCCCACATCCTCACATGAGAGGTTCCAAAACCCATGCAGCACTGCCCACCACAGATTCAAAAAAAATCCTTAGAACTCACTACAGCCCTTCCAGTCTTGTGAATTTAATAATATCGGAAAAAAATGTGTTGTGCAGGCTGGTGCTGTGATCTGTATCCCACAAACCAGTGCTGGGCCCTGTGACACACAGCTCATAACCCAGGGAGCTCCAGGAAAGTTGTGCACTGTCACCCAGATGGGTTCTGCAGCATCCACAGGCAGGCATTTCTTCTCTGGAGTTGTTGCAAACACGGTCTCTAGAGCTCTTCTTACCCAAGGTGTGCTGATTCCCTGTCTCAGCACACAGCAGCCCTCCATCACCTGCAGCTCAGTGTCACACACCCAGCACACCACCCAGTCTGCCACAGGCCACAACAGGAACCACAGCAATGTCTCTAAAGAGAAGCCAAAAGATGCAGGTCAAGCTGTTTGTTAGCAAAGAAGCTGCTCACAGAAGGACATGGCCTGTGTCCTGCCTGCTGTCAAGGAAACAAACTCCTCCATCCATCCTGAACTGTGCAGGCTTGCCCAGCAGGGCCAGGCATGCTCCTGTCCCTGCAAACAGACCTGTGGAGTAAGGAGGGAGCCATCCCAAATATTTTTTGCCTTTTGGCCCAGCGGGGTTGGAGTTAAAGCATTAAATGCTGAAAATCAGATTTCAAAGTAGTTTTCCTGAAGAGCTTGGTTGAAGCACACACCTCCTAACATCCTGGGCTCAGACTGAGCTGCCCAGTGCTGTCACAACAGCAGATGGCACCCACCAAAGTCATTATGAAAGCAGAGGAAAAACTATTACACTAAAGTAATTAGAGTCTTAGAAACCACAAAATCCTCCACAGGGGAAGCCAATACCGAAGTACAAAGAAATGCTGCCAGTCCAGCAACAAAATCAATCCATTTCTGCAGGAGAAACTGTGCAGCACTGTCAAAGGCATCCTGTGCTCTCTGGCACACACACAGCAGATATTCACCCAGGGCAGGCACTGGGATGCTCCTCAGGTTCCTCTGACCTCCTGTGGAACAGCAGCACTGGCAGGTTGGAGTGAGCTGCTCTCTCCTGTGGTTCCTGTGGATGCAGCACCTGAGCACACTCAGCAGCAGCTCCAGCCCAAAGCATCACAGCCCACTGTGCTGGGATAAAAAGCAGACCCATGGGAAATACCTCAAGTAAAACATAAACATGATTTTAAACAAGGATAACAGGAGAGCAGTGCACCTTCCCACATAAGCCTCTCTTTAAAAAACCACTGGTTTGAGCCCAACACACCAACACGGGGCCATGTGGAGCACAAGGAAGAGGATCATCTGCTGTGCTGGAGACCCCATCCATGCTGGGTCACAAGGCTACACTTG